AAAAACTTCTGTTTGCGCAAAACCGTTTTTTGCAGTAGTAAGTGTTTCTGGAAAATAGAGACCTTCAATGACTTGCTCGGGAATAATAACATCATTGTTTTGTGTTACTGGAATTCTTACGTTAACAATTTCGTGTGCGTTCACAGTAATACAATATATTTCATTTTGTGGTTGTCTAAATAAAATTGGTATATTAGTTGTATTATTCCTTAATTGTTTATTGACAAGATCGATAGAAAAATTAAAACGTTTTAGGTCGTTTAATCCTATTATACCGTCAAAAAATTTATGAAAGTCAAAAAGAATAAAAGTTAGGTTGGTATTAGCCTTTAATTCACCAGTTCCTGTTTTAATAATAGTTGGGGAATAATATATTTTTTCACAATAAAATTTTTCTGCAATGGAAGGTCGAAGAATCGAGTGAAAACAACCAGTATCAATTAAAAGTTTAATTGCGGGTTCTTTAATCTGGATGTACGGTAAACTATTATTAATTTCGGTATACATTTCTAATGTCATTTCGTTGAGTTGCATTGGCTCGTTATTGTAAAATTTTGAGAGATTTGATTTTCAATTTCAGGGTGTTCGTCAAAATTTTGAGTGTCATTAAAGTATTCAATTTGATTTGAAAATTCAATTTCAGAGTATTCCTCTTGGTGAATATTTTCATTTTGAAATACCGCAGATGTTTCATCTGTTTGTACCGCGTTACTTTCGTCGATTTGGTATAATTCTTGCGAAATAAAATTTCTAGGGCCAGTAGGTTTGAAATGGTTAATTTGATTAATGTGACGTGGTATAGTATAGTTTGTTCTTGTTGACATAGGTTCGGGTTTATTGTTAGGTACCTGACCTGTCGGTTTAAATACGTTTTTAGGTGGGCCAAAAACTTGCCTATTTGTAGGAAAATTTCTTGGAACTTCGCGTGGTTGAGGCATATTAATTGGTCCTCTGGGAAAACTATTAGTCTGGGGAGTAAACTGATTTTGATTATGCCTACTTCTAAAATTTTGATTATGGTGATTATTGGTTTGAAAATAATTTGTAGGGCGAATCGGTTGTACATAATTAAAATTTTGGTTACTAAAATAATTTGGATTTTGTGAAAATTGTTTAACGGGTTCGATAGAAGTATTAGGTAAAACTTTTGATTGAATTGGAGTTCTGAAGATATTTTGTGTATATTGAAAATTTTCCTCTTCAATAATTTGAGTCATAGCTAATTCTATACAGCTTGGATTTTTAAGTCTTATAATACTTTGTAATTGTCCTGGTAATCCTCTAATAAACGTCCTTAAACAAATTTGATCGTATTGACGTAAATGAATTACTTTGCTTGCATTATCCATAGTATCGGCAGGAAATGCATTAATTTTTTGAGCAAGGATACTTCTTAAAACTTGTAATCTTTTCCCAAAATCTAAAGGATGTTCATTTTTAAAGGGGGTGGCCATAAACAAATCCTGTTCTAAACATTCTAAGTTTCGTCTATCGCCAATACAATTTAACAAAGCTACTTTAATATTGTCCCACGTTACTAATTCCATTCTACAGCCTACTAGAATTTGTGCGCGATCAACAAGTTTCATTCGTATAGTTCTTAACAAATATTGTTTTAAAATTTCGTCGTTTCCTTGGCCATATGTATCAAAAAGGAAATCTCCAGCTGATAGAAAACTATTTAAAGTGTTGGAATCACCATTGTATGGCAGAATACTATCTATAAACATTTTTAACAAAGTGTAATTTACACCTGAATTCGACGATTGATTAGAATTCATTTTCAAATTGATTTGACTATTCTCTACTTTCTTTTCCACTAAATTTAACGAAGTAAAAAACGCACTTAAATTGTCGACGTCTTTATCTTCGTTCATAAATTTAATTGATTTTGAAATTTCTTAAAATTGAACTTAAAACTAAGAATCCTAAAATTATTTCCACCGTCCTAACCAGGGAAGATGAAAGGGGAACAATAGGAATTTTGGGCACTAACCTTGATTTCTCTTAGTCGTCAGCCTATTCTTCCTATTGGAATTTTCCTTGCGTAGCACTGCTTGCGGGGGTGATTTCTTGCCTTCCTTGCCCTCAGTCGAACTCAATCACGTTGGGTTTGTCAGACAGTCTATCACAGGTTCGTTTTGGAGTCTAAGGGTTGAAACCCACGTTTCGTGATCAAATCGTCCCGATGACGTGGCTTTGACCGAAAACTACTCCAAATCCGTCACGACTGCGCCAGTTAAGGTTTTCGAACGAAGGATCTCGTTTTAAAAAAACACTTTTTTTGTTTTACAAACAAAACTACGAGGTTTTATTTAACCCGTTACAAGGAGAACTGAACGCAAAGTACAAAGTTGTCATATATATAAAGTTTTTACGCAAGCGTCGCGTCGCAGATACTGGGAATACTGAAGCTAGCATTTCATCAGCATATTCTATCACATAATTTGTTGCTCTGATTAGTTTTTGCGTGTAACTAAAACTCGTGTGGATTCTTATTGGTGAAACTTAGTTAAGTGATCTGTTTCATACTCGCTCTACGTCAGCTGCGCGCTTACGTCTGTTTTGTATTGCGTGAAAATACTCTTAGTTAGCAGTTTACATTAAACATATTTGACTACCGCCAGCCCAGTTCGACTTTTTGTGGCGTTCAAAAAATGTATAACTTTTTCTGGCTCCCGTTCACTTTCTCCGCTACTAGGACCGATCAATATAAAACGCGGTATCCTGTAAGGAGTGCAATACATCGCTGTCTTCTCAAAGGCCCAGTGTTAAGTGCAGTGGTTGTGACTGGTGCATGCCGACTTTGTCGAAGGAGGCAGCTTCTTGTATGACGCGCAGCAAACTAAAAAATTTTAGACTATTCTGCGGTAAATGCAGCAAGCAGGAAGACAATCTTGATCAACTAGTTAAAAAACTTGAGGCAAGAGATAGACAGTTGGACGAGCTGAATAAGAGGTTGGAGAGAATGGAAACAACCTTCAACAGTCGCATAGTGGCTCTCGAGGCTGCGACGCTAACTCAACTAGTTCTCCTCCCACCCCTGACTTACAGGAGGGGATCTTATCTGAAGCGTATAAGCGCCTTAAACGCTCTGGTATTATTATCATCTCCAACTTCCCGAGTCTGATCCAGATCAAGATAAGCAATCGGCAACGGAGATTATACATCAGATAACGAATGAAGTTCTAAATATCTCAGTGTTTCGGTTGGGAGCCCTTCGTCCTAATGGGGAAAGCTCTAGAATCCGACCGCTAAAGGTCGTAGTTGGAAATCCTGAAGTGGTTAGAAAAATCCTAAAACAGAAAAACAAGCTTCTTACTGGACCGTTTAGGAATGTTAAGATATTTGACGACCAAACGCCCTCTCAGCGCGACTTTTTAGAGCAGAAAAAGAAGGAACTGAAGGACAGACACGAGAGAGGTGAAAAGCAGTTAACAATCAAATATATTAAAGGTGTACCTTCAATCGTCAACATCTCGGCTCCAAAAAATAAGCGTCGTTTCCTTGCCTATTGTTTACACCAATATTTGCTCATTGCCTGCCAAATTTGATCTTCTTGTTGCTTATATGAGTTCTGTTAAACCTGACTGTATTCTAATAATCGAAACCTGGTTAAAGCCTTCCATTCCCGATTGCACCATATCTATTCCATGATATACAATTTATCGTTCCGATCGACCTAGCAGGTGGGGTGGCGGCGCTTGTCTTTACCCTGCTGATCATATTGCCGGTAATTACAGGATCAAGCTCTAAGATTTAATGATGGGTCAGGTGGTGGACGCTGTTTGTCTATCATTTACGAGTTCTGGTTTTTGTTTTTCACTCGTCTGTGTATGGAGGTCGAGCGATACTGATAATGATTCTAATCTTCAGCTCTTACAATCCATGAACAATTTTGTCACAAATTCCGTCAACCTTGTTATTGCTGGCAACTTTAATTTAACCTGTTACTTTAAACGACTTTGTCCCCACTTCCATGGAATACATGTTCCTAGATTTTTTGTCAGATTGTAATCTTAGTCAACTTGTTGAAGAACACACACGCTTCCGAGAGAACAACGCTCCGTCATCTCTTGATCTTGTAATTACTCCGGATCCCAATTTACTTGACAAATTGGAGTTTGATTCCCCAATTGGAAAATCTGATCATGTCGTTATTGAGTTTTGTATTCAAGCCTTATGTTGTCCCAAGCAGGTCAATAATCGCAAAATGTTATGCAGGACAAATTATGCAAGATTAGCCGCAGACCTTTCCCACCATACATGGAACTTTCCTGATAACGACGTTAATGATGCGTGGACATATTTTCTGTCTACTCTGGATTATTACATAGGCACAAGCTCCAAAAGTCATTTTGTTAAGTTCAATTCTTTTCCTAATTATTTCATTTTTTAATAGGAAATAAATGTCTTGTTTATTTTTGTTACGTTTACATTAATTCCAAGTTAGCCTATATCTTTTTTATTTGTCGTAAAAGAAATAAAATTCTCTATTTCAATTGTCCCTACATGCTTTATGAGCGCACTATGAAGCCACAATCGCTTCCATTCAATATGAAAAGCAAAACAACTAGACGATGCAGACCCGTGACCCCACAATTTCGCGCCAGTCTGAAAAAGTTAATAGTGACAGTGTTGCCACGTAACAAAGGCGCAAGGCCTTTAAATCGACGAGCTGAAAGTATCCTCCTGGGGTAAAAATGAATATTTCAACAGTATGACATCACACTAAAGGTGATAATCTCAATGCTGCAAGAACTGTATTATATTAATTGTATAAATTTTATATAAGAAAGACCCTTAAAAAACTTCCCTGTAATTCTCAATAATCACATTTTCTGTAGAATTTATTTTAAAGTTAAATGAAATTTCGTGAAAAGCTATATAATTTAGTATAGAAAAAATATATATGGCATTACCATTGAAAATAATAACTCCTCTATACGTTGTTCTAATTATGTGTAAGTAATTAAAACGTATATTTGGATTTTTTTCAGGTAACGGTTCGCTGTTTGGATCTTCGTCAAACATTGTTTGTGCTGGTGTTGCCGAACAGCATGGATACAGATTTTCGTTTCTCCAATTTATGAAGTAATTTTCATGTTATTCTTAGTTTTACTTTTTTTATTTTAATTATTACTATACTAACAACTTTTTGGACAGAAATCGCTTACAATAATGCATACAAATAGTTCAAATGACATTCGACTACTTCTTAAAATTGAAATACTGCTCGTCAGTGTCTTAAATTCTACTTTTCCCGTTCAATAGGATCTCGGAAAGTGATACAGGGTAATATACCGTTAAAAAATTGTTATCCTTGCCACTTCTGAAAATGTGGCGGATAAACTAAAGTTTCTTATTAATCGATTTCATTTTTACCAGTTTATTGTCTAAGTTTGAAAAAATCTACAAATAGTTTCTCATTGGAACTTTGTAATTCAATCTTTTGTCACAGATATTAAAAAATATTTGCAAATGCATTGGCATTGGAACAGTTTTAATTTAATTTTTACTGAAGCCAAAAATCCTTCACCAGGGGTAATTTTTCCTTCTTTACCATATTGGGATTTATGCAAATTTGAATAATATTTTAAATTTTCAAAATGTTATTTGAATAATATCTTTTAAAAAATGCATTCATGCCAATTCAAAATTTAATCTTATCTGTGATTATACGAACATACTGTTCTTGAAGTGTACGGGAACTTTGTGTACTTTGCGAATGTCCTATATCCAGACTCTCTCTCTCTTCCCCTGAAGATTTTTGTCGGTAGGTACATATCTTTTTTATTAAATATAATATAGACTAGATAGATAGATACTTAAATTTGATTATTTATTATGTGCATTTTCTGTTGAACTTAGAGACCACCATGGTAAATTATTTTGTGGTGTGCTCCACTAAATAGAATAGGAGAGCTACCTACGGAAGTAGACTTCAACCAGTTTTGCAGGAGTATCACGCTATCACATAGAGTGAAAGCTGTGAAAAAAAAAGTTAATACACTGCATTTTTAAATTATTTATTTTATCCAAAATCTAAAATGTTTGATATTGTCTGATATTGTGTTGACGGAGACAATTTTCTTAGTAACTTGGTGTTGCAATGCAGTGATGTGTTATCAATGGCAAATTTCTATAACATAGAAATATGATTTAGAGCTTCACAATATTAATTTGTCTATATCGGACTGCATAATGATGCCGACGTTTATACTTCTGCTTCTTCTTCTGATTCTCTTGGACTACCTTCTTCAAATAGTTCTGCGTTTTCTACAGCAAAATCTTCTTCTATTGTTATATTACCGTCTAAGTTCATTAAATCTTCTATATTCTGGGGGTGTGTTACTCCTAAATGTTTGGAATGTCTCAATAACTCAGCAACTGTCGATAATGTAAGATCTTCTTCAGGATCGTAATCAATTTGTACATTGCATTCTAAGTTGCATTCCCTTTTTCTAAATCGAGCTTTGGCAAAACAATTCTTAATAGTCCAGTTATTAACTTTATGCCATACAGTTTTTCTGAAGTACAACGCCTCTAGCACATTGATGGTCTTTGTAAATTCAGATAAATTTTGCACATCTTTCATTTCGGTAAAATCCACTGTCGATGCTGTGTAGCCTAACAACATAGGCGGGAGTTTCTCTAAAAAAATTTCGACATCGACTTTATTTACTGCAGCAATTTCACCAAATATGCATTAAAAATTGATATTATGTCTTATGCGGTATTTTTCAATCCACCCTTCGGAGGCACTGAAATTTTTATAAGCCAAAGTTGTCGCAATTTCTTCAGCTTTCTTTTCCTGATATTAGAATGTTGCGACTTCAAACTTGCACAAACCATTCAAAACATTTTTTGCCTATATTAAAACTTTCCTTTTGCAAAAAGTTCTTCTTTTGATTTACAATATTTCCAGATTGTCATTTACTTTTGATATCTTCCTTGTTTTTAGCTATTTCAGCTGCTTGCGTTTTCCCAATATTAAATCTCACGAACTAAAACTCTTTCTGTATGTAATAAATTAACAACTTCCATATTTCCTTTTCTTTGGTGCCATTCTACGGTGACCAACTAACACCGATACTGCTGTTCGAACTAAGGCCAAAATATAAACTCTCAAGCAAAATAAAGGGAAATTACTGAATTTAATGTACATTCTGTACGATATTTTTAGTCGCATTGGGAATATTCTATTATTATATTTTGAGATTCTGTGTGCTCTGACACCATTGGTGACGTTTGTTATTAACCAATGTATTATTACCTGCAAATTAGCCTCATTGTGGAGTGTGCTTAATGTCTGATGATGGATGTGTCAAGAAATACTTGTTTGATATTGTTGGATTTTAGAAAGGCCTTCGATACTTTAAATCATAATCTTCTTATTTTAAAGTTAAAGTTCTTCGATTTAAGCGATACTGCTATTAATTTTCTGAAGGTTACTTGGGAGGTCGTCGCCAGCACCTAAATGAAAGTTATTCTCATCAGTATGCTGATGAAATGCAAATATACTTATCCAGTATAATGATCGCAAACGATCCTTGAATGGTACTCCGCTTGAATTTGTCGACGAATATAAACTCTTAGGAGAGTTTCTTGATTGTACGCTTCTTTTTGATTCTCACTCGTCTTATTTACTGCTGAAAGTATTGAAAGTACATCACATCTACTGAGATTAGACTTCAATTATGTCACTCTCTCTTATACTCTCTCTATTGGGATATACGGACGTTGTATACTGGCCGGCTCCAAGACCAATACAGCTTACAAAAATTGAAAAATGCCTGCCTGAGATACAGCTGTGTAAATTTATTCATATAACACCGGCACTCAAGGATTCTCAGTGCTTAAATCTATCTATCTATCTATCTGTTATTGCTTGCTCATCTATAAAAGGTATTAAAAGAACTGGTGAGATTAAGGAGAGCCTAGAAATAATTGAATTCGAAAAAAAAAATTGTACCTCCAGTTCAAATTTGTAAATGCATATTTTTGTAGTGTTTGAAATTTTGATCCTCACATTTGACAAAATGGTAAAAGAGTCGTAAGTTGACATTTTTGTCATTTTTGTTGTATACTTTAACAACATTAGACCGCAAACATTCACATTTTCAAAGTCTCTAAGTCGTTTTTTTTTTCAAATTTGATACCCTTTAACCTTAAGTGTTATCAAACCAAGACTGATTTCACTATCAGACTACATTTGGAAAAATAATTATTGTGTTCTGTTGTTAAACATGAGAACTAATAATTATTGTAATAATAATAATAGAAATAATTATTTTCCCATATCCAAGTACGTGAAGGGAAAATGCGCGTCGAACAAATACGATAGTATCAAAAAACTTAATTATTTCGAATATGGTTCGGTAACCCTAATGCAGTTTGACAGGCAAATAAGCGACTTTGAAAATGTGCACGTTTGAGGCCTAATTTTAGATACCCTATATAAAAGTAGACAACAACAATAGCAAAAACGTGAACTTAATCCTTTTTTCTAATATTTTAACAAATATGAGGTTAAAATTTTCAAAAATTACAAAAATATACATGTGCAAAATTGGTTAGTTTTGTTAAAGCTGGATGTCATATCAAATATTTCAAATAGGTTTAGAAATAGGGTTAATAAGATTGATATTTTGTTGTCAGTTTGATATTGACAGTATTTTTTTGTTCATATTATCAAAGACGTTTTTTTTTTAATTTGGTTTCATTTTATTTGCTACTTTACTGTCTACCAGAACGTGGATTGTTTCGTCGATTTCAAGTTCAAGGAAGGCCTCAAATACAATTAAAACTCCTGCAGATATTACCAATATTCCCTAAACAATTGAAAGTTTCCTGATATGATGTTTCAATATTTTCGCATCCACATTTTTCTTTAAATTACTATTTTCCAATTTTGTGATATAGTTAAATGAATTTTTAGCTTGGTAGAATGGCCAAAATGCAAGAACTGCATCCTTACCTTTACCTATCTTATGTTTGGACGGGTATTTTAAGTAATCAGTTAATAGGACCTTTTATTTTTATAATATTCCCATACATACGAAATCTTCTTTCAGCATGATGGAGCACTTTGGGCAGGGTGTATGAAACTGGTTTGAACAAAATTTTGCGAGGTGGCTTAGAAAATTGGTCAGCTCAATCGTCTGAAGTAAACCCACCAGATTATTATCTGTAATATGTGTTATTCTATTTATGCCACGCAAGTACTAAGGTGAATTAATGTTGCTAGAAATCAAATTAGGAACAATCGCTTTAAGATTTTTTCTTGTATCGCAAAATATTAAATTCGAAACAATAGAAATTATGATTTTTAGCTATTCAATGTGGAATTGTAAATTGAACTTGTTTGGTAAATGTTATTTTATTTTTCATAGAAATAGCCTGCAGTGGGTGATAAAATGAAAATTAACAAATGACAAACCCATCAAGCCAGTTTCAAGGCGTATTTTTCAAAAACGGTCGATCCTAAGGATGTCAAAAAAGTGTACACTGTTCTCGTAACGTAAATATTAATAAAAAAACTATTTTTAGGTTCATTCCTTTTAGGGCCTAGAATATGCCGTTATAGTATAATTCCCCATACATATAAGTAACTTGAAATACATTATAAAAGCAATCCAGGACAGATAGTTCATTGAAAGTTTATAGGCATGTAATTTGGAAACGCCTTTTAATTTTTGGGGTTTTGTCATTTATGTCATTATGACATTTTGAGATTGTGTGTGAAATTATAAACATATTTTATGTGTAATGTCCTATGTCAATGTCTAACTGTTTTTAAAATATTTGACTTTGAAACAAAATTGCACCGCCTACTTAATTAACGTTGAAAGTGAATATTTTTGTAATTTCTGAAAACTTGATCTTCATATTTGGCAAAATGTTAAAAAAGAATCTTAAGATCATTTTTTTGTTCGCGTTGTGTACTACTTTTATACAGAGTGTACAAACAAAGTCTCCTAAGCCACCTTTTTAATATTTAGCCAAATATGAAATTATGCCCAAAGTGGGTCAAGCCGGAGAAAGAATTTCTTTTTCAAGGTCAAATATTTCAAATGCGGTTAGACATAGACATAAAGTAAGTTTAGATTTTCACACAGAGTTTCAAAATGTAATAATATATGGACAACTTTCGGTTGAACCAGAAATGACATAACATTGAACATATTTTGAAAAATAAGTACACTTTTCGTTTCTAAATTACATCCCAATAAACTTTTAATGGACAGTTGTAGCTTATATTTTACTTCTTCTATAACTTGTATATAAATGTCTAAAAAATGTAAAACAGTGAATTTAATTTATCTTTCAGGGTGGGACTTCCCGTCGCTCTATCAAGTTTAGTAATAGTCAATGTATATTTAATCGTTTGTCATGTAGTCTTGGCATGGCATTAATGTTTTTATTTGTTAAAATTTTGCACTAATTGTAAAATATTCTTATTTTGTAAGCTAATTATATTTTTTAATATAATTAGGTTATTTATTTTTTATTCATTGTGTGGTTTCAAATGTTTGTTGAATAAATAATCTAAAGATCTGCGTTATTTTTAGAGACGCATTCATTAGGTATAATGGTTCCATGAAAATATTTCTGGGATAATGCTGTTTTAAAAATATTATTATTATTATTATTATGGAGACAAAAATATTTAACTAAATTTCATCAATTTCAACAAAATATATATTATTTAGACGAGACTTGGCACTATAAAGAGTGCTTAACATTTTACTACTTTCAGCAAAAAACATTAAAGGCTGCTCATCAGGCTACCATCAACACATGCCAAGTAAACTTTTTGAAAATTGAAAAAATAAACCGGTTTCATTTATTGGCCCAAAGCTGACAAGCAGATAAAATCGTTAATAGCATTATTACAGTCACGACAATTTATTTTTCAAATCTTTGTCGATTGTTTTATTGTTAACTAAATAAAAATGTGTCGAATAGGTTTTTTGTGAAAGCAGTAAATTTAATTAAAACAGCTGATTAAAAGGAAGTCTAGTAACTATTTAAAAATAGCTTACTTCTCAAAAAACTTGGGAGGTATTAAAAAGTGTATCTTAATTAATGACAGTAAGCTACAATTTGAAACCAACTAAGTTAAGTGCATTAAGGAGTTCCTTGAATAGCACTTTCTATTCTGGAAAGCGGAGATAAGTGCTATCACCATCCATTAAGAATTATTAAAAGTCTCAATGAAAAATATGTTGATCACGAAAATGCGAAGACTAAAGACAAAATTTGCAGTCAGATTTGAAATAGACAGGCTATTTTAGCTTGTTTGTATCCAAACACAATTATTATGTAATTTGCATATATAAACAAAATTAAAATTAACCCAAATTCCGGGGCATTCGCCTTTTTGACATAATATTCGTGCTTCCTTTCGGCGGCATAACAAATTGAAGCAAATTCTTTTTTGATCTTTTAGCTTGCTTGCAGGCTTATGAAATGTTTTATAATTTCCCAAAAAAGAAAGGTCGTACACCCACATTGATAATCTTGTGACATTCGAACTTCCGTCTGTTTAATTAATTCTTAGTAGTTTGGTCTTACGCAATTACGCTTTAGCTATGGGGACGGTGTCGCGAAGTTTGAAACTTTGAAGCTCGGACCGCAGATGTCAGGCAACCCAGAATACCACAATGATGTAGCACAGGGAGCATAATATATTTCCAATTGTCAGCGTCATCTGCGGGGCGCGAAAGAATACAATTAGTCTGTAGTTTTGGTACTTTGCCCTAGAGAGCGCTGATCGTAGATTAAAAATGGTTAGTTTTGTGACCCTTGTTAATCTTAGGCGCTGACCTAGACGTTACTCCTGAAATTTTTCAATACCTCTTCGACATTCTGTTCTCCTGATAGAAATGTTCGAAAATGAATTCGAACGGCTTGACGAGCGCGATCTTATTTATTTAGTGAGTGACTGCCATACGCTGGGCACTCTCCGAAATATTTCAGGCCGTGTTTAATTGCTTACATCCCGCCAGAGGCGCTGCAAACAGATGAATTTTGACAGAAATTGGTTTAAATTTAAAATTTGCATCCGTCCGCATCTATGATCCGTGTTCGCCGGGTAGTCACATTGTGAAAATGACTAGTTTTGCCTAGTAGTGAGTGTTTTTGGATTTTTTGAACATTTTGTAGTTGCAGTGATTTTGCTTCTTTGATAATAATATCATAGGTAAGTACAACTAAAAGCATAAAAGCAGCACTTTCTTATTCTCATCTCAAGCTTAATCTTATTGGTAGTCTTAATTTTAATTTAATTTAAATTTTTCTATAATTTATATTGGGCAAACAGGTAGGTCCTTCAAGAAACGCATTAACGAACATAAAAGAGCGTTTAAAAACAATAGTCTATATTCTAATTATGCTACACACTTAAACACAGAAAAACACATTTTTGACGACAATTTTGATATTTTACATACAGCCACAAAAAGTAGAAAATTAAATTTATTGGAAGCCATGGAGATTAACAAAATGATACATTCAAATGTATTGGTTAACGATAAATTAAATTTAAATACATCTCCTTTATTGAACTGAAATTCTCACAACATTAATTAAGGTTTTATGGTCATTTTTCGGTATATATAGTAGCAGGTAGTTCGTAATATTATAGTCGTCAGTCGTCGCCGGTCAATCGTCGTGGTCGTTCCGTTGTCGTCAGATTACCTGTCGACGAATGTTAGTGATCGTGTACGAGTACGCCCGCAAACGTGTTTTATTATAACCGCATAAACGGTTCCAACGGCAGTGGAAGTGCTTTTTAGCGCCGAAACTGTCAATAAAGAATTCGCTTGTCCTTTTTAGGACATTAAACAAAAGTGAGGAAAAGAGAGACATTTCCACGGAGCTGGAACGTCTAAAGCTAAGTTATAATTTAAAGCGCTCAAAAATTGACAAAAGTGCGAGTGACAGCGAGAACAGTGCGATAATCCAAAACAAAGAGCGGAACAAGGAGGACAATACAAAGATGGAGGACTCCTCGGACGGAGAAATCCGAAAAAGGAGTAGGACGAGAGAAAAAATGGAGCGGTTGAAATTAAGGGCCGAGCAAGCGGAAGCTGACTTCCAGGAGCTCAAAGAACTGAATCAAAAGATAATGGCAACCGTTGAAGACTTAAACCGAAAGATTGGGCAACTCCTGGAAGAATTGACTGTCAAACGGGCCTTAAAGCGAGCTATGATGGCCTCGATGCGCCAAGAAGCGCAGAAAGATTTAATGCCACCACCCCCACCACCCCGACCGTCCACCAGCAAGACACCCATAAAGAAAACAACCACCATTAGTGACGACGAGTTCCCAGTTGTCGGAGAGTGGGAAACTCAAAAAAGAAAGAAAAAAAGAACGCAGGGAGGCAGGAAGGAGGAATCCGACCCCAAAAAAGGAGTGATGGACGAAAGAACACCTACCCAACCTCCACCAAACTGGCCGCGTCACAACAATACAGCATTGACGCAACATCTAGAGGAAAAGAAGGAGCCTGCCGTACCCCCGGTGACAATAAACGCTAAACACAATTGGGCAGCCATCTCCGGCGCAATAAAGAACGCGAAGATAAAGTACAACAAGGCCAGGTTCGTGAAGAACGGCATCCAGGTGTACCCGGAGACCACTGAAGAGTACAGGAACCTAATCAAGTTCCTGAACGCCCACAATGCGGAGTATTACACTTACGCATAGAAAGAGGAGAAAAAGACCAAGATGGTCCTAAAGGGCCTCTTCAAAGAACTACCCCTCACAGAGATCGAGGAAGACCTGAAAGCACAAGGCATCGAAGATGCAAAAGTAGTACAGCTACTCAAGAAAAAGAGGGGAGACAAAGGAGAGAAACTGGTCTCCGAGTTCTTCATTGTGACGACTTGCAATGAAGACATAAAAAAGATTATAAATATTTGTTCCGTGAAGGTCACGCTCGAGAAGCCAAATAAAACCAGCGAGGTACCTCAATGCCACGGCCAAAGCAGATGCACCTTCCACCACAGGTGCGTCAAGTGCGGCAAAGACCACCCCCAGCCGGGAATGCACCATTCCGTCGGCACCCAAAACAGGGAACGTGAAGTGCGCGAACTGCGGTGGCCCCCATGTAGCAAGCTACAGGGGTTGCCCCAGTGTCCCCAAGACCGACGCCCAAAAGAAGAGGGAAATCCAAAGAAAACAAGCTCCCCTCACAAGCCAAGAACCACAACTACCCAGGCAGGCTCCAACCTGACAACCGAGGCAAGTCACACCTTAAATTCAACAGCAGGATATCACAACCATCCTGGCGTCGCTCCAAGCCATTCTACTGAGATTAGCCCCCCAGTAAATGGCCATACAAATCAAACCCACGTCCTTGAGAGCGACAACGTGGAATATACGGGGCATACGGGCCAACAAAGCCGATATCGAAGAATATCTGGCAGAATATGACGTAGGCATACTAGGACTACAAGAGACACTCATAAGAGGCGGGACGAACATCAGATTCCACAACTACATCATATACAGAAAAGACAGCCCAAACGGAAACGCCCGAACAAACGCAGGAATCGCGATACTAGTGAAGGAATCACTAGATCACGAATATTTAGGAATTCAAAACACCGGGCTGGACGCCATCACCATAAGAGTGCACATAAGGGACGGAACCACGCTCGAGATCACCACTGCATACAGGCAAAGTACTGTCAACATCACGGCAGAAGACAATGATGGGAAGAGAATCCCAAATAATAATAGGAGACTTCAACACTGACGCCAGAAGCTGGACCAGCAGGCAGTACTGTCCAAATGGAAGAATATTGGAAGCCGAGGTAGCAAGAAATGGGGGAACGACCATCGGACCGACCCATTATCCCGACAACATAAACAATCGCCCTGATGTGATTGACATAGCCATAATCAAGAACCTGCGGATGCCCTACGCCATAACAACGATGAACGAAGGGGAGTCAGATCACATGCCACTGATGCTGACACTAGGAAACGACGATGAAATAACGGAAAGCAAGTACAAGGTAAGAAGGACGGACTGGAAAGCGTTCAAGGAGAAATGCTCACAAAGGATTAGCCTGGCAAGAATACTCGTAACAAGACAAGACCTGGACGAAGAGATCGCCCCCCTGGAAGGCACGATCCTGCAGGCCTACGAGGACTCAACGACCACCGAAATACGGAAAAAAGATAAAAGAATAGGCGGACCACTCCCTCCACATATCGACAGAAAAATCAGAGATCGGAGACGACTCAGAAGAATCTATTGGAGAAATAGAACTGCGCAAAACAACAGCCCTGAATCGAGCATCTAACCAACTGAAGGGGATGCTACGCGAGCACAGAAACAGACAATGGAAAAGAAAAACCGAAGAACTCACAGCCGGAGACAACACTATGTGGAGAATGCAAAAGGTATTGCAGAATCCCAGGACCACGATTCCGCCAATACACGGAAAAAATGATCTAGCATATACCAGCTTAGAAAAAGCGGAAGCATTCGCGGACTGCCTGGAGCGCGAATGCAGGACAAACACCGAAGAAAACGACGAAACGGAAGAAATAGAACGCAAAATGGCCAGAGCAGCAAGGGAGGTTAGAGAACAGGATGACAGTGAGGAAGTCGCTGATCCAATAACCCCTAAAGAAATAGTTGCGCATATAAAGAACTCCAGAACGAGAAAAGCTCCAGGACCGGACCAAGTGACCAACATAATGTTAAAGAACTTACCAAGAAAAGGTTTCGTGGCAGTCACCAATATAGGCAACGCAATCCTCAGGCTGAGGTACTTCCCCGACGCCTGGAAGGAAGCCACGGTGACTATGATTCAAAAACCAAAAAAGAACAGAACCTTTCGACAAAATTACAGGCCTATCAGTCTAGTAAGCAGCATGAGCAAGATCATCGAAAGAGTCATCCTCACAAGAATTAAGACCTTCACGGAGGCAATGCAGGTACTACCTGAAGAACAGTTCGGGTTCAGGACAGGACACTCCACCGAAATGCAACTTCTAAGACTCGTCGAACAAGCCGCAGAAGGCATCGAAAGACAACAAGCAACAGGATTGGTATTACTAGACATAGAGAGAGCCTTCGACCGAGTCTGGAAACAAGGACTCGTGGGAAAGGTGAAGACCATAAGATACCCCAACTGGATCTGCAAACTGACGGATTCCTATTTGAGGAACAGGAGGATCCAGGTGAAAGTAGGGCAAGAAAAATCGCAACCGAGGATCTTGGAAGCAGGAGTCCCACAAGGAACGGTGTTATCTCCCCATCTCTACACGATATTTACCCACGACGTACCGAAGCTCCAAGGAACCGAACTTGGACTGTACGCAGATGATACAGCCTTATCATTCAGGTCACCAAACGTAGATTACGTAACGAGAAAAATGCAAAGAGCACTCGACGATTTGGAAAAATGGAGCACCAAATGGAAAATAAAAATAAACGCCAACAAAACGGAGATAAAGATACTTTCTTCTCTTCTGTTGATACATAATAAGTAGTGTTATTTAGCATTGTTGTTATTCTTTTTAGGATTTTTAATATGGCTCCTATATATTGCTGTATGATCAATTGTTTGGGTAATAACAAGGAATCTAAGCATCGCTTCCCAAATCGCGAAGTTAGTCCTGATTTATTTAATACCTGGGTGAAGTTAACAGGGAACAAAAGGCTAATAAAGGAGAAGGCTGATGCTTCAAAAATATGCAGAAATTGCAGAGTATGTGCAAAACATTTCGCAGACTATGATTTTACCTTGAATAGAAAATTAAAAAAAGGTGTAATACCTTCCAAAAATTTACCAACAGGTAAGATTATTTAGTTATTTTTTCCTTTCTTTTACAGTTTACAGGAAATAATTAACATATTATGTTTTTGTTTTAATTCGCTTTTAGTTTCCTTGGATGATGTAACATTGGCCCAGCCAAAAAATAAGACGGCTAAAATTGTTCCATTTTCGCCCTTTGAACACACGGAGACCAGTTATATTGAACCACAACCTTCTACAAGTAAAGAAACCCATCATTTTTCAATGCCAACACCAAAAAGTAAGTGTTACACTGTGTGTTACATTAAGTATACAATATATATATAGAGTGTTGGCAAGGTTTGTTTTGCATGTAGCTTTTTAATTTTTATTTATATTGGTTCAAGCTCAATTTTTTGGCTCTATTAGGAAATTTTAAAAAGTGTATAACAGTCATGTACTACAAGATTCACTACTTTGACGTTCTTTTAAAGGATTAGAAGTTAAAACCTTGAGTATGTCTAAAAACATATTTTATTTGACTTTTACATTAATGTGAATAAATTGTTTCAGGGAGGTTAGAATTATTGCTCGAAGTGGGTGTTTCAAAATCAGCAGAGTTGTCGCCTAAAGCTCGGCTTTTATACCGGAAAGCTTTGCATTTAAAACGAAAGGCTGCAACGTCGGCCAAACTGCAAATATTCTTCAAAAATCGTCTTAAAGTTTCCGAGAGCTTTACAAACGCCCATATGTTTGAAAAAGTGGTATCCAGCATGGACCGTATTCGAGCTAGGTTTTTTGAAAACCAGTTGGAAAATCTCAATAAGAAGCCCAAGGGCAAACGTTATTCTTTAGAAGATAAGGTCCTGGCATTGGCGCTATATAAACAAAGTGGAACTGCATACAGATTTTTGTCAAAGGGTTTCTCACTACCGTCTAGAAGAACGCTTATGAAAATATTAAATAGAATACCGATATGCCTTCGATTACACGAAGAGGTATTCAGTGTTTTAAAGGTTGAAGTTAAAAATTTTAAACATCCATTGGATAAGAATTGTATTCTACTTTTTGACGAGATGAGCATACAGTGTCATTTACAACCAAATATGCAAGAGGATAGCAATCCAAGGTTTTGAGGATTATGGTTTTAAGACCACCGAACATGTTGCTAATCATGCTCAGGTAAATTCTATCAAATTGTTTACAATAATTAATAAAAATTAGTGTATCTTTTCGAACAACCTATCACATATATAATATTTTTTTAGGTTTTCATGCTGAGAGGGGTTAGACGAAAGTGGAAGCAACCAATATATTATTGTTTTGCTTATGGTAGAATGAAAAAATTTGATTTGGTTGCCATTATTAAAATGATAATAAATAAGTGTCATTCTGTTGGCCTGAACATTGTAGCCACTGTCTGCGATCAAGGGGCAAACAATCAAGCTGCCATAAATTACTTGATAAAAGAGACCACCATTACAAATAAAAAACAGGGTATTGAAAGCAAAGACTCCACTACTTTTGAAGTTAATGGACAAAGAGTAGTTCTTTTATTATTATTATTATTATTATTATTATTTAAAGGAATTAGGAATAATCTATTAAAATACAACTTGCAATATCAAGAAAACGGTCATATTAAATTGGCTAAGTGGGATCATCTATTTACTGCTTATAAAATGGATCCATATCTTGGCGGTTTAGGTCTTATGCCAAAACTTACAGAAGCTCATGTGAATCCTGCAAAAATTAATAAAATGAAAGTGTCTAAATGCACCCAAATCTTTAGCCATTCTGTAGTTGCTACCATAAATGTTTTCGCATTCTCTGGTATGTATACTAGGATCATAATAATATATTAAAAAATAATAGATGTATAAATTTTATTAACTTAAAAAACTTTGACTTTGTACATTCATTATAGCTATAATCTTACTACCTACATATTCTATTTTGTTCCTGGTCATTTTTTTTTATCTTATTTAACAAGTAACAAGTATTGATTTCATAGGTTCTTGTTACCCTGTTATTTTTGTAGAAACTTCTGTGAACACCGGTGAAGAAATTCTAAAGTTGGACAAGTCAGCTAAAGATGTACTGCTAGTTTACTAGAATTTTTAGACCAACTTTTCGACAGCTTGAATGGCAGCAATTTCAATTCGCTTCCAGGAAAAGTTTTAAGATCGGCAGTAAATGATAGCTCTCCACACATAAAAGTTTGAGATGCAGCACTTGAGAAATTAAGAAATAAATAAAGAAAGAAGGTCATAAATGACACCAAGTCTTTCAAATTTAAAAATGACTATCGGAAATTTCAAGATCCTCTTTAAAATGTTAAAAAAAATTGGGTTCACATATTTGTTTCCCAGAACTTTCAATCAGGATCCGTTGGAGAATTTCTTTGGAAAAATTCGCCAAAGGGGTCATAGGAATATTAACCCTACAGTTTTTGATTTCCAAAGTTATTATAAGAGCCTTTTGGTGGGTTTGTCTTCCAAGCAGTCTGTTGGAAACAACTGTGAAGATGATCAGTCAGAATTATTCTTCACATTACAAAGACTTATATCGCAGGTAATAATAGGTGTATGTAATAATAATAATAATGTCTTTTTTGTGTGTACATGTTTATTATTCTGTTGTCATTTTAGGGACTTCCGGAAGATGATGAAGTCGTTGCACTTCCGCAGTTCACACAAATTCCCGCAAATTTACCTACTCCTTTAAAACTTACAGAGGAAAGAGCCTTGAGGTATGTTGCTGGGTATCTAGGGAAGAAAATTGGGAAAGAATCATGCGACTGCAAAAAGCAATTTTTCAAAATTGATCAAAAAGAGGAAGAGGTCGAGGACTTTTTAAAATACAAGGAGTATCCTCAAAATTCTCAAAAAAGACTGAAATATGTGAGCAATGCATTTTTAAGCAAAATTCGCCATCTTGCCATCTTAAAATACATGTTTAAAAATGATTTTCATAAACCTGGTGTTTTAAAATATGCATTACAAACACTTGCTAAAATTGTCATGTTAACACCATGTTTTCATGACGACAACATGAAAAGGCATATTTTTTCATATTTATTAAAAATACAGGCACATAATTATTGCACGCAAATAAACAATGTCAAGGGGTTTAGATATGAGACATATCCCTGCACATGCGTCAAAAATGTTTATTTCTGCGAAAAAAATTGACCAGGCTAGCGTCAAGCGACGCCGTAAGTAAAAGTATCTAAAAATCGGTGTCCCTTCTGTATATCGGTATTTTAAGAACATTTCTAACTTTCGTAATATTTAGTTTACTTGTCATAGTTATTGAGTGCAATCATTTGCATACTGTCGCCCATATCACGAATAGGCTTAACGCGAAAAAATCACAAATTGGCTTATCTTTTTTTTTGTAAAAATCTCAATAATTAAAGCAAAAAAATTATCTACTGAACATAGTTAAATAGTACCTGCTCACATATACATTTTGTCCAAAAAAGAACTTCGGTTAGCACTTAAGTCCCGCCTCATTTACTCTTTTCACAAGTTACCCTATAGTCTGTCACTTAGCAACAAAAAGTAATAAAATGGTATAAGGATGTAGTACCCAAATTACTTCTGCTCATATGTAACAGAATAATATTTCTTGAGTATAATATGTAGGTAAATTGGAAACATATATTTACTGAAATTTCCATAAAAATGTTATGGTGACATACAGGTTTGATTTGGGTATTACTTTCTCTTTTGGAGAGACATATTATAATAGTTACTATATTTAATTATTTGCGTAGTGTATTGGATCATATTAATACTGAATTGAATAAACCAATAAATCTAAAAAATTTTTTTTCCTAGATTTATCCTCAAAAATTGAGATGGTGGACAAAAAATCCCGTCAATCCTTTTTTTTTTCCTAGATTTATTTACCCTTAATATTAAAATTTACAATTATTGCAGTTGCAATTATAATCGTCCACATTTTTAAATTTCGAATTTAGAAAAAGGAGGAATTTGGTTCTGAACTTCTCTATTAGTTTCTCACATCCCGCTAGATGGCGTCAGTGATGCTGTTTCAATTCTCTGGTAAAGTTTCCCATCTATAACCAATTTAATATAGTTGTCTATGGTGACTGTCAGTCATACGCTTCGTTTGGAGAACATTATTAAAAAAGCCCAGATAAATTTGTTGCTGTGGATAATTTGTTTCCTTTTTAAGCAATGATACTCAAATTTCTTCTTTTTAAATGTAAAGGTTGCAAGTTGTCTGAAGTGACGAAAAAAAAACTTGAATCCGTCGAATCATTTTGCACATTGCACATCCTCGGAGACAATCATACCAATTTGATTAGTTTTTCAAACATTTCCTTTAACGATTTAATCTTTGATGCACTCTTATAATATGAGAATAAAAATGGAGTGCTTGGAATCGAAGTTGTTGACCTAGAGCAATGACTCGTACATTCCGTTGAACGGTCCTTCACCGAAAAAATCCCAATTTGTACGCCCCGGTCTGGCAATCTTTTGATGTTTCAACGTCTGTTGTTTTTATTTTATTTTTTTAACAATTTTTGCTTTATCGAAGAATAATTGAGACTTTAATTTGCTGAATTTTTAATACCTGAATACTGTGATTTTTATTTGCTAGTAAAGTACATTTACGACGTTAACTTCCGTTATAAAATTAACAACTCTGTTATTTTATTCTTAAAATCGTAATTACAGACTACCAAACAATGGGGTTCTAGGATTCTGTGCCGTAGTTAGGTTACCTGGATTATAGCAGCGTGAGCATTGAAAATTCTAATTGGCAGCGCCATCTATGAGGGCCAGGGGGTGCTGATAACAACTTGATTTATTTGGTAAAGAGTAGAGTTAAAACTTTGTTTTAACACCGTTCTGAAAATTTGTGCTATATAATTAATGCTCTTAATTCAAAAGCACCAGCAAGATCACGAATGTGTAATAAGGGTTGCAGAAGTTTTTAATATATACGCGATTTTGATTTGTTTCTAGCCAACAACATATAATTTTTGTTTTTTTGTAGACCAATTTAAAATTTCTACTAATCACAATTATGGCGCATTTGATATTCTAAAAAAAAATGCGCTCATCCACCGTCACATCAAATTCGTTTTCGATTTTGTTTACGTTGATTGATTTTATAGCATTTAAATCGCGGCTCGTTTTATATTTTAGTAACTTGGTCTTCTAACACTGGTTTAAATGTTCTGACGCCCAATTATGTTGCGGTTGAGGGTTCAACGAATCACCATGGATTGATAAATCGACCGTGGAAAAAGTTTTGCATGTTCGACCGATATTGTGTCATTTTCACAAAACTTTCAATTGCAATATACGAAAGAATTTTTAATCATTAACCCATATAAAAGTGCCAAATTAAACTGGCGACTAAAGTGGGTTTCATCAACCTTGTCCATAAATGAAAATTTAAAAATCAAAAGAGGATCTCCAAAACTTCAAATTAATTTCTATCAAATTATTAATTAATTATCAATCAATTTTGTGATTTCGGAAAATTGTGTTACACGACAGTCAAAACGTCGATGTTCAATAAGAATAAATTAATATTGAATTTAGCAATATTAATTTGGAGTACCCTATAAATTTGTGAGTCATTCAAATTTTGACAACTGTCAAATGTTGTTTTTGTTTTGGTTAATTGAGTCAGTGCGGAACTTAAAAATTTGACTATTGAAAATGATGTGGAAGAGGTAAAGGCCGAAATACTATATTTACGGATAGAAGCTTTTGGAAGATTCGTTTTTATATGCAAACTAGTGGATCAGATTAGAGATAACATTTCTCAAAATATGGAATTATGTCACGCCAAAAACTGAACATAAATACAAGATCTACTTGAGTCTGCTACTTTTTAATTTATCTGAAAACGAATATCAAGATCGGATGCAAGTATGTAATATTAACATTATCAATTATACCAAGTTAAGGATACGTCATAAGTTCAATACTGAATGTAGTATAATGCAGTGGGAAGTGCCCCAAGAGTGTAAGCGGTACCTCAAACATTGCCGCAGCTTGAAAAAAATATTAGATGACACGACTTCAGCGTTAAATGAAATAAATAGCACTCTGCAGTTAGGCCGTATGTATATTATTAATTTAATAAACTAAGTGTTTCAAAACCAACATTGCTTAGGTGACATTCCAGAGGCACTTTTTAACTCAGAAGCCATAGATAGGCTTCTTCATTACATTGAACGGATTCCAACTTTACTTATTTATGGTCAATCTTGTCATGCTAAAGCGTTGTTTGTTAATTTGTTATTGCAACAATCAATTTTACCATTATTTTGTTCTCAATGGCGTCAAGTGAGTAGCTTTGTATTCTTGAAATTCAATTTGCCTAATATCCCCTGTTTTGTTAAAAAGATAACCTTCTCCTATGGCCCTGCGAAAAGTATTCATCTTACATTGGGGAATGAAATAGAAATTGTTGAAAATCTCAAGGCACATGAGAAGCCTTGGGTGACAGTCCCAGTAGAAGATTTGCAAAGGGGCGATGATGAAAATTTGCTTGATCATTGTCCATCATTAGAAGTACAGTTAAAGCACCCTCTGTTAAAGGAAAAATTAAAAATTATGGTACCTCCTGATTGTCCTAGCAATCAGTTTAATGAACTTGCTCTAAAATGTGTCGACATCCTACCTGCGATAATTTATGCTGTAACAGAAGAAACTTTAAGTGATACTGTGAGTAACTAAATTTAATAGGTAGTTGATAAAATTTTTGCATTTTAGAACATTCAAGAAATAAGGAAGTTGAAAGATATTTTTCCAATGCCTTTCTTATTTGTGAGCTTGTCAAACGGTGTTAATATGGAAAAAGCAATATCCACATCTTTGACAGAATCCGAGAAACATCTAGCTGAAAGTTGTAGTTTACAAAATAATGAAACGAAACTACAAATTTTAAAAGATCAACTGGTTCGTTTAGGTACCCCTTCAGAATCCGCCCAACTATCTAAAGGGGAAATAACTAAATAAATCTTGCAGGTTACATTAACAGCGAATCAGATTCAGAAAATATTGATATTTCTGAAGGTAAAAAAGCATTTCGTCTGCATTATTCCTTGGAAAATATTTTATTATCCGATAAAGCGGTGGCTGAGGAATTTATAATGTTTATTAAGGATATCTTAAAGTCCAACATCCTAAAGCTTGCGGCGTCTCTAAGCGAGGTAATAGACTTGTTATTGACCTCCGGAATATCACAATTATGGTTTAATATTTAATTTCCAGATACACAATAAATGTTTAAAAAAATTTATTCTATGTGCATTTGATATGGCTCGCGAAATCCAGATCACCCCAAAACGTATCTTGTATGCCCGAGACGTGGAGTTGAAACTGTATAAAACCTTGATAAAAATTACCAGTGAGCAACAAGACGAAATAACATCAATTATACAAAGGACTTTACAAGAAATGAAGTCGAACGTTGCCGAAGTCCTGGAAGGCTACAATAGCAACAGTGAGTGTGCCTTTTCTTTAGATAACCAAATGGGAGCAATCATTATTCCAGATACTACTCAGTTGTCTCCTAAAGTTGCCACACTTGAGATCCAGCAATTGGTATTAAAACGCCTGAGTTCATCAATTGGTAATCAAATTGTTCAATCGGTGGGTTGTCTTCAAGAAAGTTTTACCGGCACCCTGCAACGGTGTTTGGAAAGTCTGGAGAAAAATTGTCACGATCTCGAAGGAAATCTTTCCGCGTCCGATGCCGTTAAACAAATTATAAGTGCCACATATTATATCGACATTAAAAGTCCCACCTCATTTTCAGTGGTCCATAATTTTATGGACCGGTTGCGGACATTATTGGGCACTTTCGCGTTGCCCTGGTCTTCAGGAAATCATGTTCAGTGTAATTTGCAGTGGCAGCTCCAAGTCGTTACGAATATGATTGATTCATTGACCGCTGCCAAACTTGCAAAAACCGTTTCTACACAGGTAAATAAAATATATAAAAAAATTTGAGGGGCAAATCACCGATTTCGGAAAATAATCAATAAATTAAAAATACTTAAAAAATATGCTATTTCAACACCTTATTTGAGTTGTTTCAGTGAAAGTATTAAAATAAAAAATTAAATTAATTACATACATTTTCAAAACAAATTTAACAATTTTATTCTTTTTTTTTTTCTCAAAATTCTGTGTTTAAAATATTTTTCCTTTCTCTTCAGATTGAGGAAATTTATTTACTTTAACAGGTAAATAAATAAAACAACACTTAGGAGTGTATTGTGTATGTTTCTTATATACTTCACACAAAAATTATCCCATAAAATAGAAGATGTCTCACCTGTACCGACGATCTGATAAAGCAACTAGGACTAACATTAATTTGAAAATTTGAGGTTATACTGCAAGTGGGTCCATCCGCTTGTTATTTTTAGGGTATCGGCACTTGGAGTTATACCAGAAGTAAGTGCCAGATTTTAAATAGAACAATTTTTGCTATGTTAAATTATTTATTTATCTTTTTATTGGAATTTGAATCATTGGGATGAGTGAAGACTCCAAAAGATCCAAATTAAAGATCCCACCAATAAAATTAGTTTAAATTACCAATAGTATTTGTCAAAATTGGTTATAGTTACAAATAATTTCAAAATATTTATTTAATAATTTCATTACATTCAATACATTATAATTTTACAGATATTTCACGGATTTCACAAATAACAAAGATTTCACAGATTTCACAAAGCTGTTACACCAGATTTCACGAGTGATTCACCCCTCGAATTAGATATACGGTTATGGTCATAGAGATAGAGCGAGTTTACACTTTCAATAAAAGTTTGCATTATATTTTTCTGAAAACGTTTTGGTGAGTTTCTCGATTTATTATTTTTGGTAAAAATAAATTAAAATTAACACAAAAACAAACGTTTTAAATAAATATTAAAAAAGAAGCAATCGTTTAACAGTAATAAAGTGATATTGGTTTTGCTTATGCAAAATGATATAGCTGTCAGGTAATATTCTGGTTCTGTTACGGTAAAATTGATGCGCCGCGAGATATAGGCATATTTTGAGATAATACTGCTATAAAAATCCCACATCTAATCTTATTGACGATCTGTCAGCGTCCATGTTGGTTGTTGAATACCGCAAGGTCATTGGTTAAAAACATGATTTGAAATCTCACGCATGCGCATATCAATTTTTTTCATAGTTGCTTCAAGTTTCTGTATTGGCATAGGCAGGGCGTCTATATCTCTAGTAGCTATATGGTCAAAATCATTAAATAATTTTCTTTTGCGTTTTATTGCGAATTTGTCCATCTAATTTGTTTATTTCCTAAATAAATCTTTTTAAAATGGGCCGTGGTATCCACTGTAAAGCTGGTGAGAGAATGAGTTTTGAGAAAAGAAGAAAAATCGTTGCGCAATATTGCAAACATTATAGATGGTTTTAAAAATGCAGGAAAATGCTTTAAAAAGGCAACCGGTACGTGAAAACCCTGGAGCATGAAGAAAAACAACCTGTTATGAAAACAGATTGGTCGAACTTGTAAAAAATTCTCGAGGCAGTTTCCGTTAAACTTTGAAGAAGCCAACAGGATGCAGAATATGCCATGAATTTATCCTGATAGCACACGACGTCCTTGGTTATGTTAAATTAGTCTATACATTATCCGCGCGGTCCAGAAAACTCTCGACGTTCAATGGACCATCATGTTTGTACAACTGTTGTACATCCATTAGTGGATATCATCTGGATATCCTTTAAAAATTTGCCCCACTGTTGGATATAATATAAAATGATACAAAATTTAGGCGGGATATTTCAGAGGTATATTTTTATATATTTTATAAATGCGAATTTCAAGGATTCTAAGAACACATTTTTGTTGGTTTATATGATGCAAGTTGAAGACTATCATCACATCTAAATTTGCAAATTAAAGTCGCACCGATATAGTCTGTTGCGTTATAGTGGATTTGAATCAATCGCTCTATCCTTTATTTATAATTTTATTTTGAAAACCGGTATATATTTATTGTACACATGTTTGCACACATTAATTATGTTATTAATTAATATGGTTCAAATGCGATATTGATGTGTGCTCACCCGAACCTCAACAGAGGGTACTCCGACAAGCACATCTATAAATGCCGTGCCGGCTGTCCAGGCTCTTGCCTCTGTAAAGGTGAGCTTAAGATTGCTAATTGACTGCCGAAAAACACTTCTGTCAATTTGGTCGGGCTACCACTTCATGTGGGTATTGAGGGCAACAGTATGGTAGATAAACTACCTTGGGACGCAGAAGCAACACCGTATCTAGGACCGGAGCCTTCCGTTGGAATAGCAGACAGCGTGCTAACGAGCGAGCTGAATAAATAATAAATGACTCGGAAAGCAGTTCGAGCGCTGGTAGGAATCAGAACAGGACACTGCCATATAAGAAGGCACCTCCATATAATGGGGATTGGCAACGATAGCACATGCAGGCTGTGTTTGGAAGAAACTCCTATTCACCTCCTCAAATACTTTAATATTTGCACATTTCTTTGTTCAATATTTCTTAGAAGGACATTTTTGGATTTCAAAAGAAATTTGTATGTGTGATCCAATTCAATTCGATTTCAAAATTTTTACCCGTCTGGATAACAAAGTGACTTGCGGAAGTGTGAAAGTCATAGAATTTAGTGGACATCCACAAGATAGGCCAAGTGCGAATCCTGGTCATCCACTGGACAGCTTATTTGTCCAGAAGGCGCGGTTTGTAGGATTTGCAGTGTATTAAAATATGCCATTTGGGTATTAATCATAAAGCTCATAAAACTAAGTATTAGGTTTGTGTGTAATGTGGTCAGATTATAACTATTTGGTGATGTATTGTGTTTGTTTCTTGTGGTCAATTGTTTTTATTATTATACATTTGTTAAATGTTTTAATAATAAAAATGTTAGGTTAGATTTGTTATTAATATTTTCCGTTACTAATAAAATTTGTGTTATAAAAGGTTATTCTCAGCAAAATATATTGAAATGGCTTTGTTTCATTTACGATTATTTTATGTAGATATGTTAATGCAGAAACTGATAATGTAATAAAAAAAAGAAGAAAGTTTACGAAAAAATGTGCGTTTCAGTTTCAAGAGCATATAAATTCGTCGCATCACGCGTTCCAATCGGCCATGAGAAATTTAGAAAGTCAGCTATCGGGACAACTGGTGCAAACGGAGGAACAGAGAATTGCGATTCGTAAAAAGCACGCCCCCAGATTTGCCCGTTTGGCTTTAGAAAGCACGTCCCTTTGCGATCTCGTTCTGTGGGGTATGCCTAAACAAATAAAGGAAATCGGCCGAGGGCAATACGGGGTAGTTTCTTCTTGCGAACCTTGGGCGAATATTAAACCTTGCGCTTTCAAATCAGTCGTCCCTCCAGACGAAAGACACTGGAACGATTTGGCGATGGAATTTTATTATACCAGGTTAGTTGTGGTTAGTTTCAATCGAGGCCGCCACCGTGTGGTTCCGTGTTCTTGTTGTAGGGCGATTCTGGAACATCCTCGGATAGTGAAACTTCGTGGCTCCGTAATAGATTACACATACGGAGGAGGCAGTTCTCCCGCGGTACTCTTAATTATGGAGAGGATGACTCGCGATTTATATTGCGGACTGCGTAATGGATTATCGTGGATTGCGAGATTGCGAATCGCTATTGATGTCGTGGAGGGTATCAGATATTTGCATTCGCAAGGATTGGTGCATCGAGATATTAAATTGAAAAATGTTTTGGTAAGTGAAGATTGAAACGTGGCGCGGTGACAGAGGGACGACGTGTATACTTATAGCTGGACAATGAAGACAGGGCGAAATTGACGGATTTCGGATTTTGCATACCCGAGGCCATGATGTCGGGTAGCATAGTAGGCACCCCGGTCCATATGGCTCCAGAGCTGCTTAGCGGGAGATACGATTCTAGCGTAGACGTTTACGCGTTCGGAATATTATTTTGGTATCTTTGCGCGGGTCAAGTTCGGCTGCCCACGCACTTTGACCAATTCCAAAACAAAGAACAGCTGTGGAACAGCGTCAGGAAAGGTGCGTGCGTGATAAAATTGGAAAAGCGAGCAGATATATGAGTTTGCGATAGGTATTCGACCGGAATGTTTGCCGCAATTCGACCGAGCCTGTTGGAATCTCATGGAACAGTGTTGGGCCGCGGAACCATCTGACCGGCCTCTGTTAGGTTATGTACAGCCCTACCTTGAGTCACTTTATAAGAGTGCTCGAAATGAAGGCAAGTTGAGTCCAAGTCCCAAATATAACAGAACATATTGCAATTATAGCCAACATTGTTATACTAATTATAGCTACTTGAATGTAAGGGAATACTGATCGATAAAGCGCTTTTCGTTTGTTATTTCAGATTCCTAGTCGGAAGAGGATTTGGAATCATAGCAATTTTTTGTATCTCTGTAAATAGTTGGTAAATTATTTTTCTATCTCGAATTTATATCTATTATATTATGTTGGTATTTTTAATAAAAAGGTATCAAAACGAAACGCGCCATTGTTTTTATAACTCTTTATTAATGGAACAAACTATCTGAACACAAACACATCCCCACGAAGGAAATTCTGAAAGGTAATGACCATTCATCTTTGATGTTTTAAAAAATAAACTATACTATACTATATTGGAGATCAGAAAATACTTAGAACTATCGCTAGATTCGAAAGTGGCGTTTGAACAGTTCTTAGAAAATAAAAGCTGTGCAGCATGGCGATTTCCGAGAAGGTAACTACAAAGTCGATTAAATTAAAGAAAATTTACATGTTAAGAAAATCCAAAGTATTTATTTCACCAACCACTAGGATTGTACTTACTACCATCTCCGAAATGCCTAAGCCGTGCACCTTTATATAAAATATTACAAACTCTCAGCGCTGGAATTACAAATTTTCTTTTTCATAAAATTCTCCTAAAAATGTATTTCACATCATATTAAAATTTTGATCTAGTCTGCGGTATGAACATTTCTACTATATCTGAAAAATCCTGTTTAAGTTTCTTTGTCAATTAACAAAAAAACATCCGTGCAGTAAATTTGATCTAAACTGGAACTGTTCCGCTTAATCTAACGACTAATATGACAGCAGTTGACAGCCTTGTGAACATTAAATCCTGACTTTGAATAATCAGGTAAACGTTTTCACATAAATACTCACTAACATAATGCGCACCAAGAGATCGGGAACCTGGAAGACGCATGAGTTTCCTCACTTTGCAGAACTATTCTGCCAGGGTCTTGGGCATCAGTTGAATGAGTTTCTCGGGCATCAGTTGGATGAGGTTCCTGGGCGTCACTTGGGCCAGGTTCCTGCGCGTCACTTGGTCCAGATTCCTGGGCGTCACTTGGGCCAGATTCCTGGGCGTCACTTGGGCCAGATTCCTGGGCGTCACTTGGGCCAGGTTCCTGGGCGTCACTTGGGCCATGTTCCTGGGCGTCACTTGGGCCAGGTTCCTGGGCGTCACTTGGTCCAGGTTGCTGGGCATCAGTTGCGTTTATTTCCTGGGCAATAGTTGGGCCATCATTTTGCTCTGGTTGTCCTCTTTGGAATCCAAGCTGGCGGCTTCTCGCTGCCTCCCTGCCACGAGTTTTTCTGTCGAGTTTCTCTCTCAGAACTTGTACTGTTTGATTTTTTAATTTCTGCTGTCTCTTCAACTGCGCAGGACGGGGTCGCAGACGCCGTTGCGATTGCGGCCGCGGTTCCGGTTGCGATCGGAGTTGCGTCTGCGGCGGCGACGGAGGCAGCGACGTTGAACAGACAGGAGGCTCGACGTTTTCGGGGGTTTCATTGTTCTCGGCGGTTCTTTGCGATCTCTTAGTAGGAAATCTGGGATTTTTGCCTCTTAATTCAATCGGATTCTTGGATTCATAATATTTACGCACATATTTGTACGAAACGAACTGTCTCACCTCGTACTCGTTAAAAGCTACCAATATCTGGGATAACAAAAACTGTCTATTAATTTGACTAAGATAAATGAATTAAAAATTTACCTGGCCATTAGTATTTATCTGCTCAATTTTCGCTTTATAATACTGATTATTACCTTCCCAGAGCGCGAAAACCCATTGCCCGACCTCTAGTTGCGCTAAAGCCTCGTTTCTAGCTAACGTTTCGCTCGGTGCTTCGCCCTGTTCCATGTTCAATAAGGAAATAGTGACTTGATATTCAAATCCTAATTCACGTTGTCTTATTTTTCAGAATTCAATCTTTACGCGGTTTTTAAAAGTTTGAAGAAGGCGTTGGAAAGAGTGAGAGAACTAAACATTTTCTTCTTCTTTTAATACTGATCAAGAGTTCAATGTTCTAGAATCGATTCTACTTTTCTTTATTCAAAGCGGCAATTTTCCTAAAAAGTCAGTAATATTCTATCAACCATAAAACCATATTTTTTAAATTTAATTTCAAAGTATTGATCTCATAAATCAATATTTTATTTAGTTTTCACTTTACGCTTTAAATCAGGTTTTATACTTGAAACATTTACTTATGTTTAAAAACGTGCTGTGGAAGCGGTCGTAAAAGAACTATAGGTTGTTAAATGAAAAATTTTCCGAGTTTTTTGAGTTGGCCTTATGTGACTGTTAATTTAATCTTGGGAATCGGGCCTACTAGAAGTCGAAGAGGAAGAGAATGGATGCCAAAGTCGTGCCTTTTAAAATGGCGTTGTCAACATTGAAATGTAATGTTTAGTTGTGAACTTTAGTAAATTTAATTTTGCCTGATTGGACACTGGTTTTGATTAAACATTTTGGGTTCTTCTCGTCCTTTAAAAAATGAACGGTTTAAGTTTTAGTGAATTTTGTTGTCTCTTTTGTTGTCCACCTTGCCCAAGCAGAATAGCAGCAAAACTAGCTTTTATACCTCCGGAGCTAACTTACGAATTTGTGTCCGATGAATATGGAAAATGCGCTTTTGCACTGACAGAAAGGGCGGAATGGCAATTTTCGGAAAGAGAAAAAGAAAATATTGAAGTATTTTTTACAAGGACCACAAGAGGAAATAGAATTGCCTGTTTATTTGTGAGATGTAGTAACACAGCGCGATTTACTATATTATTTTCTCACGCCAATGCTGTTGATCTTGGACAAATGAGTAGTTTTTATTTGGGTTTGGGATCTAGAATAAATTGTAATATATTTAGTTATGATTACTCTGGTTATGGTGTGAGTGGAGGAAAACCATCTGAAAAAAATTTATATGCAGATATTGATGCTGCTTGGCAAGCCCTTAGGACCAGGTTTGGTATAAGTCCTGAAAACATAATACTTTATGGGCAAAGTATAGGAACTGTTCCTACTGTTGATTTGGCTGCAAGGTATGAAGTTGGAGCTGTGATATTGCATTCTCCTCTCATTTCTGGTATGAAAGTGGCCTTCCCCAAGACTAAAAGAACTTGGTTCTTTGACGCTTTTCCCAGGTAAATGTCATGTGATGGTTAAAAATGAGTATCTATCTGTTTATATATTTTAGTATTGATAAAGTTCCAAAGGTTGTATCCCCAACGCTAATAATTCATGGTACTGAAGATGAAGTGATAGATTTTTCTCATGGGCTTACTATTTTTGAAAAATGTCCTAAAGCTATAGAGCACATCTATAATTGCCGTGCCGGCTGTCCAGGCTCTTGCCTCTGTAAAGGTGAGCTTAAGATTGCTAATTGACTGCCGAAAAACACTTCTGTCAATTTGGTCGGGCTACCACTTCATGTGGGTATTGAGGGCAACAGTATGGTAGATAAACTACCTCGGGACGCAGAAGCAACACCGTATCTAGGACCGGAGCCTTCCGTTGGAATAGCAGACAGCGTGCTAACGAGCGAGCTGAATAAATAATAAATGACTCGGAAAGCAGTTCGAGCGCTGGTAGGAATCAGAACAGGACACTGCCATATAAGAAGGCACCTCCATATAATGGGGATTGGCAACGATAGCACATGCAGGCTGTGTTTGGAAGAAATTCCTATTCACCTCCTCAAATACTTTAATATTTGCACATTTCTTTGTTCAATATTTCTTAGAAGAACATTTTTGGATTTCAAAAGAAATTTGTATGCGTGATCCAATTCAATTCGATTTCAAAATTTTTACCCGTCTGGATAACAAAGTGACTTGCGGAAGTGTGAAAGTCATAGAATTTAGTGGACATCCACAAGATAGGCCAAGTGCGAATCCTGGTCATCCACTGGACAGCTTATTTGTCCAGAAGGCGCGGTTTGTAGGATTTGCAGTGTATTAAAATATGCCATTTGGGTATTAATCATAAAGGTCATAAAACTAAGTATTAGGTTTGTGTGTAATGTGGTCAGATTATAACTATTTGGTGATGTATTGTGTTTGTTTCTTGTGGTCAATTGTTTTTATTATTTTTACATTTGTTAAATGTTTTAATAATAAAAATGTTAGGTTAGATTTGTTATTAATATTTTCCGTTACTAATAAAATTTGTGTTATAAAAGGGTATTCTCAGCAAAATATATTGAAATGGCTTTGTTTCATTTACGATTATTTTATGTAGATATGTTAATGCAGAAACTGATAATGTAATAAAAAAAAAGAAGAAAGTTTACGAAAAAATGTGCGTTTCAGTTTCAAGAGCATATAAATTCGTCGCATCACGCGTTCCAATCGGCCATGAGAAATTTAGAAAGCCAGCTATCGGGACAACTGGTGCAAACGGAGGAACAGAGAATTGCGATTCGTAAAAAGCACGCCCCCAGATTTGCCCGTTTGGCTTTAGAAAGCACTTCCCTTTGCGATCTCGTTCTGTGGGGTATGCCTAAACAAATAAAGGAAATCGGCCGAGGGCAATACGGGGTAGTTTCTTCTTGCGAACCTTGGGCGAATATTAAACCTTGCGCTTTCAAATCAGTCGTCCCTCCAGACGAAAGATACTGGAACGATTTGGCGATGGAATTTTATTATACCAGGTTAGTTGTGGTTAGTTTCAATCGAGGCCGCCACCGTGTGGTTCCGTGTTCTTGTTGTAGGGCGATTCTGGAACATCCTCGGATAGTGAAACTTCGTGGCTCCGTAATAGATTACACATACGGAGGAGGCAGTTCTCCCGCGGTACTCTTAATTATGGAGAGGATGACTCGCGATTTATATTGCGGACTGCGTAATGGATTATCGTGGATTGCGAGATTGCGAATCGCTATTGATGTCGTGGAGGGTATCAGATATTTGGATTCGCAAGGATTGGTGCATCGAGATATTAAATTGAAAAATGTTTTGGTAAGTGAAGATTGAAACGTGGCTCGGTGACAGAGGGACGACGTGTATACTTATAGCTGGACAATGAAGACAGGGCGAAATTGACGGATTTCGGATTTTGCATACCCGAGGCCATGATGTCGGGTAGCATAGTAGGCACCCCGGTCCATATGGCTCCAGAGCTGCTTAGCGGGAGATACGATTCTAGCGTAGACGTTTACGCGTTCGGAATATTATTTTGGTATCTTTGCGCGGGTCAAGTTCGACTGCCCACGCACTTTGACCAATTCCAAAACAAAGAACAGCTGCGGAACAGCGTCAGGAAAGGTGCGTGCGTGATAAAATTGGAAAAGCGAGCAGATATATGAGTTTGCGATAGGTATTCGACCGGAATGTTTGCCGCAATTCGACCGAGCCTGTTGGAATCTCATGGAACAGTGTTGGGCCGCGGAACCATCTGACCGGCCTCTGTTAGGTTATGTACAGCCCTACCTTGAGTCACTTTATAAGAGTGCTCGAAATGAAGGCAAGTTGAGTCCAAGTCCCAAATATAACAGAACATATTGCAATTATAGCCAACATTGTTATACTAATTATAGCTACTTGAATGTAAGGGAATACTGATCGATAAAGCGCTTTTCGTTTGTTATTTCAGATTCCTAGTCGGAAGAGGATTTGGAATCATAGCAATTTTTTGTATCTCTGTAAATAGTTGGTAAATTATTTTTCTATCTCGAATTTATATCTATTATATTATGTTGGTATTTTTAATAAAAAGGTATCAAAACGAAACGCGCCATTGTTTTTATAACTCTTTATTAATGGAACAAACTATCTGAACACAAACACATCCCCACGAAGGAAATTCTGAAAGGTAATGACCATTCATCTTTGATGTTTTAAAAAATAAACTATACTATACTATATTGGAGATCAGAAAATACTTAGAACTATCGCTAGATTCGAAAGTGGCGTTTGAACAGTTCTTAGAAAATAAAAGCTGTGCAGCATGGCGATTTCCGAGAAGGTAACTACAAAGTCGATTAAATTAAAGAAAATTTACATGTTAAGAAAATCCAAAGTATTTATTTCACCAACCACTAGGATTGTACTTACTACCATCTCCGAAATGCCTAAGCCGTGCACCTTTATATAAAATATTACAAACTCTCAGCGCTGGAATTACAAATTTTCTTTTTCATAAAATTCTCCTAAAAATGTATTTCACATCATATTAAAATTTTGATCTAGTCTGCGGTATGAACATTTCTACTATATCTGAAAAATCCTGTTTAAGTTTCTTTGTCAATTAACAAAAAAACATCCGTGCAGTAAATTTGATCTAAACTGGAACTGTTCCGCTTAATCTAACGACTAATATGACAGCAGTTGACAGCCTTGTGAACATTAAATCCTGACTTTGAATAATCAGGTAAACGTTTTCACATAAATACTCACTAACATAATGCGCACCAAGAGATCGGGAACCTGGAAGACGCATGAGTTTCCTCACTTTGCAGAACTATTCTGCCAGGGTCTTGGGCATCAGTTGAATGAGTTTCTCGGGCATCAGTTGGATGAGGTTCCTGGGCGTCACTTGGGCCAGGTTCCTGCGCGTCACTTGGTCCAGATTCCTGGGCGTCACTTGGGCCAGATTCCTGGGCGTCACTTGGGCCAGGTTCCTGGGCGTCACTTGGGCCATGTTCCTGGGCGTCACTTGGGCCAGGTTCCTGGGCGTCACTTGGTCCAGGTTGCTGGGCATCAGTTGCGTTTATTTCCTGGGCAATAGTTGGGCCATCATTTTGCTCTGGTTGTCCTCTTTGGAATCCAAGCTGGCGGCTTCTCGCTGCCTCCCTGCCACGAGTTTTTCTGTCGAGTTTCTCTCTCAGAACTTGTACTGTTTGATTTTTTAATTTCTGCTTTCTCTTCAACTGCGCAGGACGGGGTCGCAGACGCCGTTGCGATTGCGGCCGCGGTTCCGGTTGCGATCGGAGTTGCGTCTGCGGCGGCGACGGAGGCAGCGACGTTGAACAGACAGGAGGCTCGACGTTTTCGGGGGTTTCATTGTTCTCGGCGGTTCTTTGCGATCTATTAGTAGGAAATCTGGGATTTTTGCCTCTTAATTCAATCGGATTCTTGGATTCATAATATTTACGCACATATTTGTACGAAACGAACTGTCTCACCTCGTGCTCGTTAAAAGCTACCAATATCTGGGATAACAAAAACTGTCTATTAATTTGACTAAGATAAATGAATTAAAAATTTACCTGGCCATTAGTATTTATCTGCTCAATTTTCGCTTTATAATACTGATTATTACCTTCCCAGAGCGCGAAAACCCATTGCCCGACCTCTAGTTGCGCTAAAGCCTCGTTTCTAGCTAACGTTTCGCTCGGTGCTTCGCCCTGTTCCATGTTCAATAAGGAAATAGTGACTTGATATTCAAATCCTAATTCACGTTGTCTTATTTTTCAGAATTCAATCTTTACGCGGTTTTTAAAAGTTTGAAGAAGGCGTTGGAAAGAGTGAGAGAACTAAACATTTTCTTCTTCTTTTAATACTGATCAAGAGTTCAATGTTCTAGAATCGATTCTACTTTTCTTTATTCAAAGCGGCAATTTTCCTAAAAAGTCAGTAATATTCTATCAACCATAAAACCATATTTTTTAAATTTAATTTCAAAGTATTGATCTCATAAATCAATATTTTATTTAGTTTTCACTTTACGCTTTAAATCAGGTTTTATACTTGAAACATTTACTTATGTTTAAAAACGTGCTGTGGAAGCGGTCGTAAAAGAACTATAGGTTGTTAAATGAAAAATTTTCCGAGTTTTTTGAGTTGGCCTTATGTGACTGTTAATTTAATCTTGGGAATCGGGCCTATTAGAAGTCGAAGAGGAAGAGAATGGATGCCAAAGACGTGCCTTTTAAAATGGCGTTGTCAACAATGAAATGTAATGTTTAGTTGTGAACTTTAGTAAATTTAATTTTGCCTGATTGGACACTGGTTTTGATTAAACATTTTGGGTTCTTCTTGTCCTTTAAAAAATGAACGGTTTAAGTTTTAGTGAATTTTGTTGTCTCTTTTGTTGTCCACCTTGCCCAAGCAGAATAGCAGCAAAACTAGCTTTTATACCTCCGGAGCCAACTTACGAATTTGTGTCCGATGAAAATGGAAAATGCGCTTTTGCACTGACAGAAAGGGCGGAATGGCAATTTTCGGAAAGAGAAAAAGAAAATATTGAAGTATTTTTTACAAGGACCACAAGAGGAAATAGAATTGCCTGTTTATTTGTGAGATGTAGTAACACAGCGCGATTTACTATATTATTTTCTCACGCCAATGCTGTTGATCTTGGACAAATGAGTAGTTTTTATTTGGGTTTGGGATCTAGAATAAACTGTAATATATTTAGTTATGATTACTCTGGTTATGGTGTGAGTGGAGGAAAACCATCTGAAAAAAATTTATATGCAGATATTGATGCTGCTTGGCAAGCCCTTAGGACCAGGTTTGGTATAAGTCCTGAAAACATAATACTTTATGGGCAAAGTATAGGAACTGTTCCTACTGTTGATTTGGCTGCAAGGTATGAAGTTGGAGCTGTGATATTGCATTCTCCTCTCATTTCTGGTATGAAAGTGGCCTTCCCCAAGACTAAAAGAACTTGGTTCTTTGACGCTTTTCCCAGGTAAATGTCATGTGATGGTTAAAAATGAGTATCTACCTGTTTATATATTTTAGTATTGATAAAGTTCCAAAGGTTGTATCCCCAACGCTAATAATTCATGGTACTGAAGATGAAGTGATAGATTTTTCTCATGGGCTTACTATTTTTGAAAAATGTCCTAAAGCTGTAGAGCCCTTATGGGTTGAGGTGGGTCACTGAATTAGAATAATCGTTAATTTTAGCATGGTGTAAAATGTTGTGGTTTCAATGTTACAGGGTGCAGGCCACAATGATGTGGAACTCTATCCAGTGTATTTAGAAAGACTTAAGCAATTTATAATGGTCGAATTGGATAACTGACAACTACTGAATGGTGAGGATGTTACTTTCAGCTCAGGAACTTCAAGTTCTGTTGGTGAAAAGTTGCTATAGCACGCAGCTGCAGGGACAGCTCAGAAAGGACTTGAATTGGACAAGAAGTTGTCACCCTCTGAGCTGTCTCCCTGCGAAAATATCAATACACCAACTAAAATAACTGATTTGGCAACAATTTGTCATAGTGTACCACCAGTGTGTCTCACAGTTTGTCACTGTTTATTACTAGAGACTACATGTTAGGAATGTTTTAGTGTAAATACTGTTTTCTGTGAACTGCAAATCAACATCTAGTTAATTGAAGACAATCTACAATTGGAATGCTCTGATACATTATAAAAAGGTGAATATATTTTTATAGTTTAAGTGGTCAAAAAATTGTTCAGGTACTCTCTAGATTACACAAGTTACTTAATGTACTTTTGGAAAAAGCAAGTATTTTCTTTGTGCTGTGTTAGTGCTTACTTTTATTTATATTTCAATACAATTATGTTTTACACAGGATATTGTTATAAAATTTACTTATAATTTAGTTTTAGTATTTATATAAGTAGATTAAAACTAATTGCGTCAACTTTATGAAAGGTCTCTTATCTTGGATTCCTGAGAATAAAAATATATTCATCTTGAGTTTGCAGATTTTAAAGTTCAAACCACCTACAAAAAAGACAAGATGGAGGATGATTTTGTGTTTTAAGTTGTGTACAAAATTTTGATGTGTAAAATGACCTGCTCGGAATAAGTTGTATATAAAAAAAAGGGCTGTATTACCGAGATGAGGCTCCACATTGTCCTGTTTCTCTTGTTTTCAATGTAAATATAATATGTAACTTTTTTGGTATACTATATTTTGCTTAAAAAGTCTCGAGATTTGATACAATTAACCAATTAATTATGTATCTAAACTAATAAAAATTGTTCAATAGGCATTTTTTATAAAAGATTCAGGGATATTGTATCATCAGTAATTGGTACTTTTCTATGAACCCTTTAAACATAATACAGCAGGGGATAGCTAATTAATGACCTGATGTCTTTTGTATTGTAAACGAATGGGCAAAAGAAATAGCGGTCCACTTTATCTTACCCTTTTTTCTATAGGGCAGCCGAGACACAATTCTGTGAACCTTAAGATGGCTCGAATTATTATAATGTACACTTGAAAATGGCAATAATATACTAATAAGACATTTCCTCTAAAGAGGGGTGTGTTGCTATTTCTTTCCCCCGTAAGAGTGAAAAACTTTGTTATTAGCTCCCAAGTGGCCAACTTAGTTTTTATTTGCGTTGCGATTGAAATTCGGCTTTGTTAATAATTAAACCATAAAAATGGCGTAATTGCTTTCGATATGCTAATTATTATGATGGCAAAGAATTTTACTTGTTTAAATTAAGTGATTATTTAAGAGCTCAATGTTAGGAAAATTTATTTGAAATTGTTTTCTTAGATATAATTTATACATATCACTTTTGCAGTGTATTCCGTTTAATTAAATCATTTTATATGGAAATTTTGTTACTTTTTTTTTTCAAAATATATTTCTTACTAATGATAAGTGTTTATTTATCGCCAGTCGATATAACCTGCAGAAAGAATTTTCTAAATCAATTAAAAATATAAATTCAGGGTGCGCAATTTACAAGTTGTGTTAGGCAAACCTCCTAGAACAAAACAAGTTTGTGTACCGTATTTTTAAATTTATTTAATGCAGAAAGTAATTGGCAGAAAAAAATTACACACCCATAATATTACAATGTTCACCAATTACTAACGTACTCCCTAAAGTTACAGTTTGATCAAAGACTTTACAACACATTTCAACTAATAATAATACCAAAAGATAAATTGAGTTCATAAGCGCAGAAAAACAAAAATTACGATCCTCAATAAAAACGTATTATCGAAATATATTAATCCGACTTCAACTTTGATCCATCATGAAATTATCACCGCCGTGTACCGTCGAAGAATCTTTCTGGATCGAGTCGAAAATCGGCTGCAGATCGGACGAATTTTTTATTTGATTGACGAACTCGTTCAGGTGGGGATTTTTATCTGGAAAAGCATCAAATACATAGTTGCATTGAAAGCAGAACATTCGAGCATGAAAGCAAAAGACTCACCTGCATCCGGAATGTTTAATAAGGCCGCAACTGCTCTCATAGCAGATCGTTTGAGTTCATCTTGTTTCTCGTATTCCTGCTTCACTGAATTCGCCTTCACTTTTAATGTCAGAGTAGTCCTTAGTGGCTCGATTAACCTGTCCAATCCTAAAACGCACTAATTTTATAGCAGCTCATGAATACTCGATTAATTCATTATACTTTGCAATACAAAGCCGGGACAAATCTGAGCCAATCTTGCCACCATCAAATAGGTCAACATTTTAATGTCATAATGATCTTTTAAACCGGACTCCACGTGATTTATAAAATTGAATATATCGATTTTATCGAGGCACGAATCTAAAAGAGTGTACATACACTCGAACGCGGCCTTCCTAATATCCAAACCGTCGTCCACCGTATGTTTGAAAGGTCCCATTTCAACCTCTCGAATTAATTCCCTCTAAAAATTCGGAACCGAAGAAAATATTTTATCCGAAATAACTAGGCTCTGTTTCTTAATACGAGCGAGTTCAAACTCATTATTGAACTGTAAAACTTAGTTGTCTTAACTGTACCATGATTGGCACGAATCCCGAGAGTGGCAGGCAGACGACCGGTAGCTGACCTAAACTCTTAGGCAAAGTTCGTTCTCAATGTGTTGAAAGCTCTTCGCGACCAAGGCTCAAGTTGTAAACTGGAACCCGGAGACAGACGGGCACCAACAACTGCCATGGTCAGTCCATTAAGAGGGACAGGATCAAGGATAACTTTTGCTTCCATGCAGCATACAAAGAGAGGATTTCTACAAGGAACAACTGGCTCTATGCGGGAGAAAATATTCTTGTGTCTGATGGGAGTCTGGTATATGGAAGGGTCCGAAACAGACACTGGAGCAGGAGCTGATGAACCTAACAGCTTTTTCTCCCAGACCCCTATCATTTATGCCAGTATATTCCAGGCACCCACGAGAACATCATCACATGGTACTCTGAAAACTCAAATTCATGTCCTAACTAGCTAGGCACCACTAGAGAACATCCCATTAGGAAAACTAGGAGTGCAATTCATTGAGCCCGAGGAACTATCCAAAATCCCCATTGAAGAAATATGGAACTTGCTCTAGAGAAAAGGGATGTTCTAGAGAAGGGGCGTTGGAGAGAGAATAAATTGCCATTGCGTCGAAGATGTGGGAGCCTGATAACATGCTACAAAACGCTGTAGAGCCTCTTATCATTCTGGGAACACAACGGATAAAATTTACAAATGAAGTTGCATTGTAAATAGTGGTTTTATTACAATTTATCTATTTTAATATCATTCTTAAATCCATATAAGTTAGAATAATTATTATATCAATTATCTGCGGATCCGTTGGAATATGCAGGTCTAAAAAACTGAAATATAGAACTTATCACCAACTATCATTGCAATTTATCTGAACTTTACGATATAACCTGTTATCCACCCTGTTCAATGATACCTGTCATTGCAGATTTACATTTTACTACTCTCTCGCATTAAGAAACATAGCATAACAAAATTATTTATGCAACATTTGCTATTTAGTTTGATTAATTAGAAATAGTCACCTTAATATTGGTCTCATTGTACAGTTGAGGCAAAATAGTGTCTAACAAGTCCCGAATAAGAGAAGGTTTATTGTGGGCGGCCGAATTAAATGCAACCAAGGCCACTCTTCTCACGTTTAGATCGGGATCCTGCAAGGTGTTTAGGAATTCCCCTATACATTGTCTCAATAGAGGATCGATTAACGCGGGCTGATCGGAAATGGTAAACTTGACAGCGGTAACCACTGTCGTTCTCATTAAAGGCGAAGGTGAGTTTAAAGATCTTTTTAACTTGGGCAATAAGTTGGCTGGATCAATCAAAGTGAGTTTCCCAAGGCACTCGGCCACTACATTTCTCGTCCCTTCCTCCTGACATTCGCAATGACCATATAGAGGGGGCCATATGTCAGGAACAAAGGGTAACAATTGCTGTACCCCCTCTTTGCTCTGGGACAAGCAAGTGATCACTTCTTTCACTGAATGGAGAAGTAAATATTGTTTCCTCGGTTGTTCCTGACTCGCTTTTAAAATAAACGGCAAATATTGTTGCAAATTTCCAATGCATATACTGCCCAGCGCATAACTTGCAGCAGATTTTACCTCTTCCGATACGGCAGAAAACGAATTGAGGATCACTTGTTTCAGATTCGGAACTGACGTTAAGTTGCTAAAACCACAAAGGCATATATATGGTGTTTATATTTTTCAGGTTAAAATACCGTCACAACACCGTCTATATAGAAGTCAAGTACTGGCAAGATCTCTCTTAGATTACAAGGTTGTATTGTATCAAAATCAAACTGGAGAAGGTGGAATACTATATTATGCAACAAGTGCGGTAAACGGCATTTGAGTCACGAGTTTATTTGGTACGAACGAAGCGAGTGTATAATAAATGCTCGACTTACAAAGTTTAGCAAACGTGTTGTATACTACATTTTTCTACGACCGTTAGTTTTTGAGTACATTTTTACAAAAATACATTCAAATTACAACAAAATTACAAAAATACATTCAATTCAATCCGTGCGGTAAAATCCCCGAAATGTCAGAGAGGCTCGGTTCACCGGGACCAATAACTCACGTGGTAAAGTGAAGCTTCCCGCAAGCTAAGTCGGTGTATAATTAGGTATTTTACAGAAAGGAGTAGAAAAAGTGCTTTAATGTCATCTTTGAACTAACACTGACGCCGTAAGGTGAGCAAAAATATCGAAGCCATAGATGTGCTTTAGTTCTTTTATTGAAAAAACTTAAGCCTGTTCATAGATTAATGACAATTTACTTAAATTTGGTTAGTTAGTAGAGGAGCTACTTTATGACAGAATCCCTTGCCTCCGCCAGTTTGAGCCAGTGAGCGAATTTAAGAGGGATCCCAATTCTTGTATTAGGCCCATACGTACATTTCTCGACCGATTTCTCCAACTACCAGCAAAGCAAATATCTGTTGGGAATCGGAAGTAGCATTTTGTATCTCGTTGATAAATTGAGGTACCACTGGGAGAGCGTGAGCATGACAAGTGACGGTTATAGCAGCCACACACTTAGCGAGAGAGTAAAAGGCCTGTTTGTGTAATGTTGGACCTTGGCTGACTGATAAGTTTGACACGGGCATCAACAGAAGTCTCAGCAAGGAGTCATACGAAAGACCGGGGAGATTGCACTTCACCAGAGACTTAAAGAAATCCAGCATCGATTGCAACGCGGTGCCCTGGAGCAAAGGCGACTTAACAAGGACGAGGATTTGAGGAATAATTGTATTATTGATATCCTGCAGTGCCTTAGGGTGTTGAGTGGCGATGGATTTCAATATGATTAACGTCCACTGTGCAATATGCAAATCGCTTTCGTCTAATAGTGGAGGTATTTCCACTATGATGTGCTGAAGGAGATGCACATTAAGTTTCTTGTGATAATTTTGAATTAGACAATCGATGAGCTGCAAAGTGCTCAATTTGAGGGCTCTCTGATTCTTCCTAAGGAACAGTCCCAGTATGGGCATCGCCTCTGGTAAAATGGGTAAGTCGATACTTAAAGGTGAACCCGCAATCTTTTTTAAAGCTTTTACGGTAGTTAGCCTAGTGATTTCGTTACGAAGTCGATCCAAAAATAACGGTAGACAATATGGCAGTTCGCTTTTGAGTTGATCTCCCAAATTGCAAATCACTTGGCCCATTGTCGAAATCGCCTTTTCCTTCACCTCCTGATCAATATCGGAGGCTTTCAATCGGACCAAAGTACAACTATAAATATCTCTTGTGAAAGGGGTAAAGTCAAATCCCGTGTGAATCTGCAAGAAAATCGGCGCTTTAGGGCGAGGTCATAGAAAGTTCCTGATTTTAATTATAAATTTTATTTAAATGTAAATCATAGGATAGGATTGCTGTATTTAGAGTGTCACTTAATACAGTGTGTTTTTCACTTCAAAATGTATACACTAAACGTGATACCTTTTCAGATACAGGATGATAAAGTTTTTAAAAATCGACTACAGATATTTTAGATTACTTTTTACAAAACTTTTGAATTCTTGTGTCGGTTGTTGTTGAGTCGAACTTGCTAACGTTTCGTTATCTTCCAAGCTTAACTGAAACTGACTCGCATTTTAGTCTGGTGACAGGTAGAGACCTGAGTCACCGTTAAGAATGCAACTGCTGCACTGTGGGCCCCATGCATAAACTAAGTTGCAATAAATCATTATTAAAAATGCAAAATTTGTCAATGTTGTTAAATTAAGAACATACTGAAACATGTGAAAATAGTATCGCTTTCTAAAAATACTTTACGAAGAATTTTTTATAAAGGCACAATATCAGATGTTTAAAAGAAAGTCTATTTTTATTGCAATCGCTTCAATAAAATAACGAAGTTTTCGTACTTTTTAAATGGCTTAGTAGGATTTGAAAACAAATGTCGCTTTAAGTATTTGACAACTGATGTCAGTCCTGTTAATTAGTTTAGACCTGTGCATGCAATGTAGAATGTTTGTGTTTTTTCTGCGATTTGACAAGAAGTGACGAGGTAAGTACCATTAATATTTAATTTTTCAAATTCTATAGAGTAAAAAAATATAAAGGAGTGCCAAGCAAAAATATACATTTTTTATTAGGCAAGGGTGTAAATTACTAAAAACTGTTAGCCATAAATGTCGCAAATAATCGCAAAACTCATGCCAGTTAAAAATGTCAATGAGTGATAAAAATTTTAACAATTAATGTGCTCTTAAAGTTGTTTATCGCATGTATTGCTTGCCCAATGAGCCAATTATAATGCATTATTTTTGTACATATTGTTTTTATTTTATACACACGTTTAAACTCAAAATTGCAAGACTATTTTTGTTTTTTCGTTTTTAGAAATGTACGAAATATCGATAAAAACGTTGTTTCAATTCTGGAGTGTCTAGTAAGAAAAACCTTGTAGAAGAAATATTTAAATTGGTTGTAAAACATTTTAACCTTAATAATGAGAATGTTCCGACCAATACACAAAAACAGTGGAAATTATTTCAGATATTTGTAACAAAATAAATACAAGATGGAGGAAGTGCGGCAAAAGATCTGATCGATTTTTACTAAAGTCTGATGAGTGGTTGCAGAATGGCTCTATTTGTTTTGCTAGGGCCCCAACAGAAGATTTCTTTGAAGAAAAAGTACAAAAAATCCTGGGTCGCCCACTTTAGCCCTTTAACCAAGTTCTTCATAGATCAAAGAAAAAAAAAGTTGAGCACTTACTAAGAGCCAGTACGGAAGAAATTACATTTGCTGCTCAAATTGCTTTAAGAAATGATGGGAAAAAAGATGCAGCTAATCTAGTCAAAGAAATCAGTGCTGGATCATACCGCCAAACGTCTAGTAAATGTACTTCAATAGCACGCATCAATGTTGGATTTACAAATATTAGACGTTGTTTTAGTCACTAAGTATGGATGTGATGGAAGCTCTGGGCACAGTAGATATAAGCAGAAATTTAAAGGCGAAGAAGTTAATGATGAATATTTATTTGTATATTCTCTAGTGCCAATCAAACTTAATCCAATAAAGGACAAAAATATTCTTCTATGGCAAAAAGATCACCCATCTTCCACCACACTTTGTAGGCCTGTAAAATTCTTATTTTCTAAAGAAACTACCGAAATGGTTAGTGACGAGACTAAACAAATACAGTCGCAAATAAATTAAAACAGACAGTTATTATTTTGGCAAATAATGTTCAAATAAATATTCATCATGAGCTTCACTTAACAATGGTAGATGAAAAACTGTGCAATATTCTAACCAATACAAAATCATGACAAACCTGTTTATATCTGTGGCGCAACTCCAAAAAATATTAATATAAAGCCCAACAATACACAAAATAAATATAAAAATTATGAATTTGGCCTGACTATGTTACATGCGCGAATAAGATGCTTTGAATGTTTACTTCACATAGGTTACAAGTTAAATCACAAAAAATGGCAGCACAAAAGTAAAGAACAACAAGAGGAAGTTAAAATTAGGAAACAAGAGATTCAAAAAAGATTTAGAAATGAAATGCCTTTAGACGTAGATAAGCCAAAACCTGGATTCGGGTCCAGTAATGGAAATACCGCCAGAGCCTTTTTTAATTTTCCAGAAAAAAGTTCAGATATAACAGGAGTCAGTAGAACATTAATCGAACAATTTGGTGTGATATTGGACACAGTTTGCTCGGGGTATAATATAGATCTTGTAAAATTTGAAGAGTACTGTAATAAAACTGCAGACCTGTATTTAAGTCTTTACTCGTGGTATTATATGCCCATAGCCGTCCACAAACTGCTGCACCATTCCACAGATATTATTAAACATTGTGTTGTGCCTATTGGGCAGCTCTCTGAGGAGGCCCAAGATGCACGTCACAAAGATTGTCGGCGATATCGCGAGCATCACACCCAAAAAAAAAATCGCGCATTGCCACGAATAAAGACTTGATGCGAATGTTATTAGTGTCCTCTGACCCCGTTATAGCCAGTAAAACTGTAAGATCAAAAAAAAAACACTGTCACCTGACATATTGGCTCTACTTAAAAGCCCAGAATTTCCATGCCTTACAAAAAATGACTATTTTTCGGAGACCTCCGAAGATGACTTTGAGTGTATGGGTAGTGAGTCTGACAGCGAGAATGACTAAAATTATAATTTACCTAGTGGGTTTCAGGGTTAAAAAAAGTATGTTAAGTAGAAAACATCTCTGCCAAAAGTTTATTTATAAGCCAATTCTAAGGATTTTTCTTATTCTTTAAGTTTTTTGTGTTTAGTATGATCTCTTGCTTGCTGTGTTGTTTTAATAAAATAGTTATATTTTCAATAAGTTAATTTAATTTAGGTAAATAGTTCAAATATTTGGCATTTGTTAGCTAGTATGTTTTCTGTTTCCTTAAATACAGTTAAATTGCAAAATGTCTCCAATTTTTTTATTCTAGTTTTGGTATATCTGGCAATGTATAGCAATGTATAGCACCAAATAATAAAAAAATTTAAGGTCTTTAAGTTACTAGAAAATAATCGAATTAATGCAACCTAGTTTGGGCAATGGGCCAACAGTGTGCTGATGGTTTATTTGTCTGAGTCTTTCATGTTCTTCGAGAATAGTTGATATTTTTCGTCCGGTCTCTTATTCTTTGCCGCATACACATGGAACTCCTGGCATCTCAAATGGAATTTTGTCTTTGATGGATCGAAAATGTTGAGAGATTTTTGGTTAGTTTGGATTTTTCGTTGGTACAAGAATTTTCAGTGCTATTGGAAAGTTGTGGTGAAGTGTATTTTGTGATGGAACGCTGAATATCTTTAATGTGGAAATTGTTATAGAGAAGAGCAAAGGTAAGTTGTTTTAATTCTGGGTTCTGTGACATGGGCTGAGATGGTTTTACGGCTCGGTAAATAAGTTATTGATAACCGATTATTTTTGGGGCGGATGGTAATGTGACATTGCATTAAACTATCCATCTGTGTAGGTAAGGTTTCTGTAAACACAATGTTAGGTCTGAGTTTACAGTATTCCGTGCATATGCGGCAAAGAATACATTGGAAAGACCGGACGAAAAATATCAACTATTCTTAAAGAACATGAAAGAGCCTTAAGACTAAGACAAATAGTCATCAGCAGTTGCCGAACACAATCACGAAACTGAACATAAAATTTTATTCGATAAAACTGAAATTCTTGCATGTAATCAATTCTTCTATCAACAAAAAATCCGAGATCTATAGAAATCTATAAACAACCTAACAATCTTAACCGCGACACAGGTCATCTGTACCTGTTACCAGAGTAAAATGCGAGTCACCAACATGGGAATCAGTCATCCGAGACGATGATTATGTCCCTCATTTAGCCCCGCCCCCTCAAAAGATATATAAGCAGGTACAGAATAAAATGTAAGCCAGTTTCAGTTAAGCTCACAAGAAGCCAACAGGATGATTGGCGAAACGTTAGCAACTTTGACTCAACAAATAGTATTACAGTAGAATGAAAAAATAAAGTAATCAAATTCCCTTAGGAATGACAGTTTTCAAAATTGATTTTACTGATTTATTAAGAACATTGAACAGGACTAACATGCGCAGTATGAATTCTATAGAATAGACTTGTAGCAGAATTGAGAATTTAACCAAAATAAAACTACAAATATTATTTGATCAATTAAAGCGCCACTCACCTGCATGGGCCTAATAACTTTAACTAACTCTTGCAAAACGTTTAATGCCTCTGCGGTGATTTTGTAAAAGCTATCCCCCACCGCGACTATGACTGGATGCAACAGGGTTGCTATATGGGGATGAAATACCGTTGGTGGGTGGGTAGTTAAAAGGCAATAAATAAAGGACAAGGAGTCTATTTTCATATTGCTACTGGCATTCTTTTCGCTAAGCGAATACAATATTCCTGGTATCAGATCGCCTATATAGGTGGCCAGTGCTCCAGGAAGTACCGCACACAATTCTTTAAGCAAGCAGAAACAATCTTGCCTATAAAGAGGTATTTGTACTAAAGGTTTGACCGAGTGTGGCAAATGTTATTTACCTGGTTTTTGTACTTTTTTCCTTCATTTGGGGCTGGATCCCCTTAACGAGCAATGCAATCTGTAACTGCAATAAAGTCACCGGGGTCTCCTCATCCTCGTCCATTGCCATGGTATTTGGGTCCATATTATTTACGATAACGGTTGACTTGGTCTGTTTCAGCAAAGCTACATAGGCATGAAAAATATCCGATTTTACGTTTTCTTCCCTTTCCTTAAATCTTGCTATCAATGCGGGTGAAAGAACTTTGTAAAACTCGGGCAATAGTTCATGCCTAGTAGTGATTATGGCTTCCAAACATTTTGCTGCCGATCTACGAACTTTCCAGCTCATGTCATCGTCATCACTGTACTCATCATTTTCTTCATCATCTTCCTCGTCTTCTTCCTCATTGTCACCATTGCCTTCGTCTTCATCGTAATTATAGTTAGGATCATAAGTCATATATTTTAAACAAAGTTCTGTTATCTAAAATTTACCAAGTGATTGCTCTGGAGTGAATTACTGAATGAAATTACTTTTGGTATATTGGGTGTAATTTCCTTGGGACATCTGTTAATAAAACTTTCAAAAGCTTGTAAACAGAATTCTCTAAGTTCTTCATCATCAATGTCACATCTTTCCAAAATTATTGGGACAAATTTCTCTATATGTTCTCCAAATTTATGCCCAGACTGTCGACTACAAAAGCCAAAGTCAAGAAAAATGTTGCCCTATTCCACCTATATTTTGACTTACCACACAGATGCTACGCATTGTACATATGTACGCGTTTGGGAGTTTGCCTTATTGGCATTTAACCCTTCATATAAATGATCAATAAGTTTATTATACAATGCATTATTACAAGATAAAACGAGGTGACTCAATGCGCAGATTGTACGCTTTCTCACAGCTTGACGCTGAGATTCTAACTGGGGAAGAAGGGCTGTTAAAATTGACTGATGAAAAGATTGTAGCAATGGGCCAAAGCGTAAAAGCAAATCAGCTATTATGTCTAGAGCTTCTAGTTGAACAGACACATCTTCTTGCTTGAAAAACAATCACATTCCTTACAAATTCTGATATTAAAATAGGTAGGTTAACTTACCCGTTCTATCGCAGTAGTAAGTCTTCCTGTGATTCTTTTACAAATTGCTCCAGACATACCTCCTAATGTTTGTGGTAATTCAGCAATAACAGTCTTTAACCCAATACTAGATATATCTCTTAATTGTTCCTTATCAGATACCATATTTGCACAAAGAGCTTCCACAATTGTATCCACTTGATATTCCTTAACCTTATTAACCAAAGGTCCCAAACTAAAACTCATTCCAAATTACATAATTACACAGAAAATAGAAAGGAATACTAGCCATTTAACAGCCAAATTTTGAACTTCACCATTCTTATCTTCCAAAAGTTTTAATAACATTCTGACAACTTTTCGCTCAGAATCATCATCTAGTTTAATACTATCTTTTTGTAATTCTGTCATTAAATCATTGGTGGCCATAAATCTGAAGTCTTTATCATTTGATTGCATCTAGAAAAAAAATAATAGCAATATAAAGTTTCAATCTTGCGAGTTTAACGGAAAAAGCGGTAACAAAAAAAAAGTGTAGTAGGTACTCCAATGAATTACCAGCCCCATAACTCGGTCCTTATTACTATCAGGTGCTAGTCAATTTAGTTTTGCTTTCAAGGTGTACTCTTATCACTTCGAATATAACTAGATTTACTTGTTATATATGTGGAAGTATATGTACAGAAGCCGAGAGTGTTTGAGAAGTTTGTTCTTTCAAAGTCTTCAATTGAAAGCAAACCTTAACTGAAATTAAAAAAAAAGCGTAGTTCCATTTCATCAACCAACCTTTTCCAATAAATTGGCAATTTGATATGATACGCTAGCCATGATCAACTGGAAAACACAATATCGTAAAAAAAGGTATAAAGTGAGAGAATTAAGGAATCGCAATTTTTAGGTTAAATACAAATTATGAATTATCATGTTTTGATCTCGTTGTTTTTACCAAGCATCCAGGTTCTTGAAATATAAGAAATAACGTACGCAAATCTACAAAGTTAACAAATAGAACGAGTATAATTCATCCGGGTTTAAGAATAAATAAGATACACCACAGATACACCACATATAAATGTACACCAACAAACGTCACCAGCCTCATTCAATTCAAAGATGTGTTTTACTAATCCTGTTGGGCAAGTATGCTGTGATCATTCGCCCATTGCCGACTTCCTTCGAGGATTTACACCGTTTTCATTCGACGATGCGTTTTACTAATTCTGTTCGTTTTTTTTTTATTACTTCTAATGCTTGCCAATCCTAAGGTCACTGAGTAGGCGGATAAAATAGCTTGGCCTTTTAATTGTGTTTTATGGTTTGTAATGAAATACATTTTGCGCAAAAGGCAACTTTGTAGTAGAGAACAATGTAACTAATATCGAATCTTTCGATTGTCGCAAGTAGTGCATTACACATTGGCAGGCTGCCGGAATTTTAAAAGAAACTGACGGCTCTTGATTGCTGTTTCTGGAAATGAGCCATATAACGAAAGAAGATGGTAAACGCGTTAACCCCCGGTTCATGTTCTAGAAATTGTATTTTGATTTTTTTTGCTGTCAGTTGTGTCGGTGTGTTGGTTTTCATCTCCGTAAGGGTATGATAATAGCTTTTTATTATCATTTATTATTTGTGTAACCGAATTTAAGGATTAAAATGCGTGCTATTCACCGACCGGTATTTATATCTCGGTTCTTTTCTTCAGTTGCCAAAAGTATGGAAAAGCACGGCGTTGTCCCCGACGTTATTGACGTAGCACCAGACCAAATTGCTGAGGTTGGCTAATATATTTTTTAAAATCTGTTGCTATAGTTCACAACTTTCGCAGGTAAAATTTCCAAGCGGCGCCAAGGTAGAACTGGGCAATGAATTAACACCGACACAAGTTAAAGATGAACCATCAATCCAGTGGCAAGCTGATAAAAGTGCATTTTACACTATAGTTAAAACAGGTAAGTATGCCATAAGTTCAGATGATTCAAAATTCATGTGGACTATGATTTTTGGGATTTTCAGATCCTGATGCTCCAAGCCGTAAAGAACCAATATATCGTGAATGGCATCATTGGTTGGTCGGTAATGTCCCTGGCAATGATATATCCAAAGGTGAAGTTTTGTCTGCTTATGTTGGAGCCGGTCCACCACAGGGAACAGGATTACATAGATATGTGTTCTTAGTGTATAAGCAAACAGGACAACTAACTTTTAATGAGCCTCGTTTAACTAATAAGTAAGTTAAGGATTAAACAAAACCTTTAATTTTTTAAAATGTCAAAAATTCCAGGTCAGGAGAGAAAAGAGGGTGCTTTTCTATCAGGAAATTTTCTGAGAAGTATAATCTGGGTCAACCGATCGCTGGGAATTTATACCAAGCCCAATGGGATGATTATGTTCCGATTCTGTACAAACAATTGGGAGAGTAGTTTTGAATTAAGCTCGTTACATATTCTCTAGAATTATATTTTAAACTCATATTATTGTTATTGGAATGAAATAAAACTGGCCCTTCTTTGAGTTTTCCATCTCCTTTTATTCTATAAATATATGTTTTGAAAATAAGATTACAGAAATGAAAACTAATCCACACCTAAAGAATAAATGCTTCCGCAGCCACCACGTGTCTAAAAAATTGTTATGTTCACTTTGTATAATTATACCGAAGGTGTAATAATGCTTCTAAAGTTCCTAAAAACAAACTGCGAAAATGATGCTTCCAAGCAAATCCTTATTAACTCAAATTATCTCAATTATTTTCTAAAACAGGACGAATCTAACAAGATTGGAGCAGTGTTATATTAAATTCTTCTCGTAGTTATTATTTTTAGATTAATATCAAAAACTAAAAAAATATCGTCAAAACATATTGCTGTGTATTCTCAAACTATTCAAGAAATTTCCAATAGGTGTTCGTTTGCTGCGCACTCACTCGCGCATTTTTGTATACGTATTTTCAAATTGTTACTAAGGATTCCGTCATTAATTTTTATTTAAACTGCTTTGTGAACGTGCTCGAATACATCGATATTTTTCAAAGCACTCAAAAGCGTAATCGCTTTTAAAGGAACCAATTAAAAACGTTCAAACAAAATAGGGCTCCTTTTGTTATTTTTTCAATGTGAGGATTAGGCTTCCGCGTTGTACTGAGCCGCACGAATTTCGTGAGAGTATTTAAAAATGTTGTGCTTTTATATTGGAAATAATATACAGAAATATATTTTTACAGTTTTACTTGGGGCTGCTTATGCTTTTTTTGTTTTTTATATCGTACTTTAATGGAAAATTGGGGCCGTAGAAACAGTAACACTCGTTAAGCCGAACGGTTATTATTGCAAACCCATCGAATAAATTGAATGTTGAGCTGTGAACAGAAGTGACACGTGTTATACGTATTCTGCTCACGTGGCGTGCGCTTTTGAGCCTCTAACCCTCGAGTAGGTCTGTTCGGTAAGATTTAGTGTTACCATATATAAGCAACAAATTGGCAAAACCCTGGGGATTTTGTGGACAGGAAAAATTGGGGCGAAGGCTTTATTAATTAAAGAAAATTATGCGAAAAATTAGGAGCGAGATAGAACGTGTGAAGCTTATTAGCCCTAAAAACTATTCCTGCAAAATTACGGCCGAATAAGCCAATTTTGTGACGGTATCGTAACAATATTAGCGGTAATTGAAAATAAAGCGCAGCATGCGTGACACAGTGACGTGTCAGTTCATTTACCAAACACGCTCGGCCAGGCGTGCAGGCGGCAGCAATAAGGGCGGCACTAACACCGTCCCTCGGGAGCCGCCACTGCGACCGCGGCCCGCTGGACCTCTGGATCGTCGCTGCCTGATGCATTATTCATTCAACATTCAATTATTCCTCAGATTGGGACTAACAGTGTCTGCCTTATTATTTCGACCACATCAAATATTTCCCAAGGTGTTTTAAGCATAAAATTGGACCGGCTATCTCCCGATTCACCTTCTTAAAAGAGTAAATACGTATATCGGAAGGCGACTTCTTAGTTTCGAGAATCTTTTAAAAAGGAAATAAAAAAAACGAATTTTTCTTGATATTTCTTTGTAAATCAGTAACATGGTATACGTACCGCGACTAGCCCTGTATATGTATATGCGTTATTGTCATGTAAAAAACATTAAAATCGATTCCTAAATGTACTACGTAAAAAACAGCGGGAAGTGTGTCGGATTGTTCAGGCTCCGGCCCGGTGGTTTTTTCAATTATAAACTCTATTTGGCTTAGCACAGATTGTTGTGTAATCAGTTTAGCTCGTTACGGAACGTAGGCACTCGACAGTGAACCACATCGAGGAACAAACTAACTAAAAGCAACCTAAACCTTAACTGGAGTAGAATGATTGCATTTCGGAATCTCAGACCGAATCCCTCCTCGTATTGTTACCGTCCTACCTCACAAATATTATTCATTTTCTGATTTCCTTTTCCCACCCCCTTCGTTTTATTCCGCTGCTGATAATATTTTATATTCGTTGAAATTTGTCTTGCCTTGCCTGATTGTCTGATATTAACAAATAAATGATACATATTTTTTAAAACTCTCAATAGTTCTTGATACAAAGTGTGTCACTTAAGAACTGTACACACTTGTAAAATTGTTATTTATGATTCGATTTTAATAATTTTTTTTTCTTGGATGGATCTGTCAAAAATCCATTAAAATTTTATTTTGCTTACTGCTTCAAACTATTTAACTAAAAAGAGGGAAGAGGGTAGTAGATTGGCGTTGATCAATTGGCCGTAAATTGACCACGTCTTCTTGTTTAAATAAATTTTTGTTTGTGTGCTGACGACCTGAAAATTTTCAGAAAAATTACTACAACTGCCGACGGCATAAAGTTACAGGGATTTATTCAGCGCTTTGGATCGTACTGCAAAAACAATGGTCTGTATATAAACATCGAAAAATACGGTGTTACATCTTTTACTAGAAATCGGGTTCCTATCCCCTTCAACTATTCGGTCAATAATAGCACAATAAAAAGAGTAACAGAAGGGAGGAACCTCGGAGTGATATTAGACGAGAAGCTGATATTTTTCACTTCAGTACTGTCAAATGCTAGTCTTCATTAATAGACTCGTATCATAGCAGAATAAATTTTGCTTTGTATAATCTATACAAAAATAGAATTGAAAGTTTACACAATTAATTTTTAAACTTGCTTTCTTACAAAGAGAATCTTAACTTAATACCCCCAGATTTAAAGGACGTAAGAATGCATTATAAACTCTTAACAATGGAGGATCGAATAATACATTTAATGTAGCACCTAGGCAATTTCGGACTCAAAATTCTCCACTGCTTCCTATGCTGAGACGTGCAAACCTTCACTGCTTATTGAGCTTGTTCACAATCTTAGATGATCGACACTTGTTACCTAATTCGTAATGTTTTCTGTACTTTACTTATTTAAAGTGTACTATGAAATAAATTAATAATAAACAAATAAGTAAATGTTTATCAATGACGCAATAGAATAAAATTGTTAAAAAAGAAAAAACAAAATCTTTTTCTTTGTTTTCTCTATGTCTTCTATGCCGGACTCAATTTGTCGCATTTATATATTTTCTTTTTTTTTGTTTCATGTTATTCTTTTTTTTTCTTTTTCTTTTGTTATGTATGTGGGTTTAATATGTTTGTGTCTCCAAGAGCAAGTAAATAAATAACATCTTGCAATTGCAGAGTGTTATCTATCATTATTTAAAAATAAAATAATATTTTACAATAAATTATTATGCGTTTGTGATGTAGAGTTTACCTATAACCATCTCCAAGGAATACCCGAATACCATACTTAGCGATTCGGGGAATCCCAATAAAACTATCGACTCGATTTAACGCACAATATAAATAAATATAAATTTCATTGTATTTTGACGCAAGAAAAATTGACCTGTCAATTCCACAGCTCTAGAGAGGAGTACCACTAGGAATTTTTGTCAATTTATTGAAATATGCCAATTTTTGTCATGTTTCAATAAAGGGTGTTTGAAATATCGTTTGCGCCTCGCTTAATGCTTTACATCCTGTATAAAAAATATATCAAAATCAAACCTTAATCAAAGATTATACAAGGATGTGAAGCCCTAATGGGGCGCAAACGATATTTCAAACACCCTGTATTGAAACAACACAAAAATTGGTATAGTACTACCGAATAAGAATTCGTTGGTAATTTATTCTTTAAAAAATCCATAATAGCATTAATAGCATTTTCTCTTCTCTCTCTTTTGGTTGATGTAATAAGTAAGGTTTTAGTGCGTTTTTAGGAGATCCATGAAACAACAAAAAAAATCAAAATCGAAGCATAAACAAAAATTTTACATGAGTGTACCGTTAACTGGGACACACTGCATGTTTAAATAAAAAAAAGGAAAAATATGAACCATTTTTTAAAATATAGGAAGGTATATCTGTAAGATACCGAATTTTCTTTCAATTTGGGAAAATGTACTCAACTCAGACTGGGCTATTTATGCTGATTATACCATTATGCCCAAATACAGCATATGACGACGACTTTCTATTGCCAACAGACGCCTCTACTAATTATGTGTCTAATTTAAATGTGCGTTTGTAAATCAGTGTAATTCATTGTTTGCTTTATATACTTTTATATATTTTATATTATGTGCCATAAATAAATACCACTACAAAGAAATCGAACTAATTCTAGGAAGCAACTAATTATTTTCGGCATTAATTTACAATTAATATCACTTGGATAAAGATCTTTAGCACACCGAATCCGCCTTTGGAAGATTATACACAATTTACACACGTAATTGTCGAGTATATCTTTCATTAAGTGTTACGTAAGCTACAGGGTTTGGTACTTAAAGGCGGGCAACAACCAGTAACAAGAAGTAGAAGGGCGAAGTGATTAAAATCGAACCTGTTGTCGAGTATTACAGGACAGGGACGGGGTGTTCAATGAAAATTCGTCATACGTAATCACTGCTTCTCTAGCTAGTTATTTAAGGTCCCCCGGTTTGTAATGAAAAATTAAAAATTGTAAAACATTCGGTAAGCGACGGCGACACCCTGCCAAGGTTTGGGGTACGAAGAGATTGAACCACTATCTCTGACGAGTCGCTAATGTCTGCTAGCCATAGACCAGGGCTTAAGAGACGCACCCTTGTTGATAGTACATGCGATAATAGTCATTGTTATGATTTCAGGATAATTACTATAAAATGTTTGCCGTATTAAATCAATTTTTTTATGAACACATGCTTGCCGTAATCCTCCGTTCTTTGTCTACACTCAACAGAATTTGACCATGTTTTTTGCAGTTAAATTAACTATCCAATGTTGTTCTTGTTTTTTATGCGGCTCGCTGGTAGAAATATTTGGAAACCGCAAAATTTCATTTAATCTTAGATGAATGGCAGGAAATAAATAAAAATAATGTTAGGATAAAGTGAACGTGTTGGAAGTATCATCAATTGTCTAAATTGCTCCTATGGGATCTTATATAACACGTACTGAAATGCCT